TTAACAACCCTTGCCATTACAATGATGTGCGTCAGGCACAATACCAAGCACACAGGGGCTCAGCGCTCCTCTGCTGCAGGCCTCACCGATGCTGACGTTCCTGGTTTCCTGGGAGACCTGCACCTCCATGTTGCGGCTCAGCCGCTTGGCACCCTTCCTCTTGTTGTTGGTGCAGGCCGCGTCGAAGCCTGTGGTGGGCTGGTAGGTCTCGTTGAGGGGCGTGACGGAGGCCGAGGGCACCGACGAGGTGGGCGTGTTCGACTTGGAGCCGTTGCTGCTGGGGGTGGCGGCCACGGAGGACTGGCCCGATTCCGACTCGTCGTCCTGTGGAGGGAAGAGCAGAGCCCCGTGCAGGGAGTTTGAGTCCAGGCCCTCGTCAGGCCTCCTACAGGAGCAGCACAGATGTCTTACACCCTGTGTTTCTACACTCTCACAGACCAAGCACATCAGTATCGCGGTGTGCTATCCACTAGACCAGGGGGCACAGCTCCAGTCCAGGAGGGCCAGAGTGTTTCAGGTTTTCCTTCTATCTGAGTTCTTAATTACCAAACTGAACTCATTATTTGTCCGATTGGAAACATTAAAGCCTTTCCCTGCTCTTAAGAAGCTGGAGATTTAGAGGTAACAATAAAGCCTGCTGGACACTCTTGAGGACCAGTGTCCCCTGCACTAGATGGACAGCAGACAACAGCAAAGCAGCACCTCAGGTATGCACTCATCCTAGATCTTCAACATCTATCAATCTGTCCATCCGATTTTCGTCCCATTGTACCTGACGTGTAACAAGATGTTTACTATTAACTGACACCAAGAGACTACAAGGAGTTTGATTATATGTTCTTATCAAAGCACAACAGAAAGGGATACTTTTAGTACTGCTGGTATGTAATTAGCCCTGTTTCACCCTCACTGTCTGGGATTTGGATCATTAAGAAATTCATAGCAACTCTAAAAAAATAGTGCACTTCAATCAAAATAAAGTAATCACCCATCTGAACAGTCTTTTTTTCATTTCCTGATTTTGTCGATAAAGGAAACAATGAAACTTCTATCCTCTAAAACAATCATTACGAAACTATTCTGTTAAACACAATGAGCTTCTCATTGACCTAATGCATGTATAAAACTGGTCAATTTATAGAAAGAAGTGATTTTGCCTGCTGTGTGCCTCACTGATAATCCCTGCAGTAGCTGGTAACTTTGCTCTAGGTCTACTGTATAGAGAATAGGTTCCCTAAATCAAAACTACCCAGCTAAGTTAAGATCATAACTGGATAGGTCTGCTATATATAACAATATACTGTATATATCCCTTTAACCAGACTGTTTATCAGATGTTATTCTGTTCCATCTCTGTTTCTCACCTTCTTCTGACCTTTAACACCAGCACAAAAATCATAAGCACACCTGATGTACTCTGGAGCCATTAAAACAAGATCGGATTTATTTGTACCCAAAACCAACAGTTGCCTTAGAAAACCAATTAAAGGAAGTAACTCCTAGGAAACAGGGTAAATGTTCAAACTGCTAAAAAAATCAAGGAATTACAAAAGCGATTGAGATAAAAAGAGGGAAAATTACAGTCAGGAAGAACTGCATGTAAATACAGTGTACAGCTTATGTCTCAGAATAAACTGGATCTGTTGCAATGCTGGGGTGATCCGTCACAGAAATATGGCTTAAGAAAGGATACTGTATATTCAAACCTGTGGCCCATTCTCACTACACAAGATCAACTCAGGAACAGACACGTCTTCTCTCACTTCTTCATAAGGCTAAATCCATCAACACAGCACATGTTCTTGTATGAAGATGAAAACATCAGGCATTAGCTCTGCTGAAAAGGACGTGTCGGTTTCACTAACATGTTCCTGTTATTTCACAGTATTTTATTTAACCCACTCATTTCCTGTTCTGTTCAGGAGTCCTGTTGTTCCTTAACTGCATTTGTATGGAGAACAGCAATCTTCCAAGTAGGTCTTTGCAAGCCTGAATAAAAGTCAACTATAGTTTTAATTCATGGTCTACTGAGCATTGTGCATCAGCAATTACCTTACCCTTGCAGATCTCCTATCCATCCATCCAACAATGATTTTTTACAGAACCATAATAACCCAAATAGCAAGAGAATCACAAAGCACATTCAGGATGTGTAACTTGGGAGGAATGAAATAATGGTTAACACAAAAGACTATAAGCTACTGCTTTGAAAGCAAGACAAACAGTGAGGAAGCATTTCATTTTCAAAAAGATCAGCAAGGACACTTAATCTTACCGCAAACTAATCTTCTGCTCCAACCCAATCACTCAGGCTTAAAACTACACTTTTCAATGTTAATAATGTAGAGGTACACAAAATCTATGAGGGCTAAAACAAAAAAAGACTTTTAAGGATGTGTGATAAATTGCTTGTTTAATCCTCTTAGCCATCCAATATACTTGTGTGCTTAACAACTACTAGTTACTATAATATCAGCTTGGAAGCAATAATACATACACAATATAGAAGGACTGCTGCTTATGAAACACATTCAGAAAACTCATTTTCAATCTAACGGGTAAAGTTTTATTCCATGATGAAAAAAGGACACGTCTATCACACACATTCGAACCAGGGCCAGGTTTCCCCAAAGCTAATTAACCAGCATATCAGCATGACTGTGGGAGAAATCACATGAACATGAGGAGAACATGCAAACTCCACACAGATAGAACTCCAGGTCCAGAATTGAACCCAGGGCAACAATGCTAACCACTGCACCACCATGCTACCCTTAAAGCCCTTTCATGCAGGGCAAGAAAAGCTGTTTAGTCAAAATTTATCACTGTTTTTTTAAGAAAGAAAAAGAATGAACGTCAAATAAATTATGCTAAATTAAGTGTAAAAAGAAAACTTGATCAAGCCTGCTTTAACTAGGCAATGTCATTAGGGATGAAAGGCTAAGGAAAGCAGGTCACTCTTTTATTTTCTTCCAAAATACACAGTCTAGCTCAGCCAGCCTCTGAAATATCCCCCCACTGTGAAACACTGAACCTTATTGCTGACTGAAGAGAATCTGACCCAGCAATCACACACCTACCATACCTATTAATCAGCAGCCTATGAATGAAGAAAAGAGCAGTCATTTCTGTTGCCTTTTCTTAAAAATGTTGAAATTTACAATAGTAAATTCTGGGCATCAAATCAAGTCTTCATCAATTTCCCTACGGGATTAATAAAGTATTATCTATCTAAGTCTGTCATTCAGCATGGCATTCCTGCACAAAATGAGATGCTTCCTTCCGAGAGCGATGCACGGCTGTTTTCCGAAGTGCGAGCAGGATGGAGAGTGAGATGGAGGAAATGGATGATACTGAGGGGTTTTACACTCCCTGGAATATTCTCCTCAGGGCTGACCATGCTTGCTTTGAAATTCACCAAGCTTGTTCACTCCCAGGATAGCTGCAGGACTATTTCCCACTTTTTATCTTCTGAGATATATTATGGTTCAGACTGCACCAGTCCTAATGCCTGAGCTACTTTGTTTTAGGCCGTTTTAGATTACCCTGACTCTCTCAAAAACTGCATACCAACAGTCTAGATGGTCCTACAGCTATTTGATCTTACCTCTTACTTCAAGCAAAACCTTTGTTCAGAATCTTTTGGTGGCTAACCTGCTTAGGGGTCACCTCTCCTGTTCTCTAATGGATCTCCAAAACGAGCGAAGGAACAATATGGAGGTCCCTACTTTCCATAAACACTATCAACAAAGACAGTTCAGCAAAGCAATACAACTGCGTTGCTGATAGAACAGGTTGTAGCTAGTGCCACCTCTTACATGCTGGAGCACACAAGTCACAAGTCATTTCACACTTTTCCCAAAGGGACAAGTACCGTCATCTATCAATTATCAGAAAGAGTTGCATCCACAGACATAAACAGAAACTTCAGAGACACCACCTAACCTTGCCAGGACATCTTTGGAAGGTAACCAGAGTAACAGGAGACACACCCATGCAAACATGAGCGACAATATGCAAACTCTGCACAGATGGCACCCAGCCTGGATACAAACCCAGGAAGCTGTGAGGCAGCAGCAACAAGCCCCATGCCCCAGCGCTATCTACTACTCCTTACGTCAGAGACTGAATTGGTCTTATCACGGCTTTAAAACCAGCAAAAGAGGACGCAATATTACAAACGACAAATCTGCAAGAAAAACCTGAGATTCCATGCTTTTCGTCTGCCTCTGTCCTTGAGTGTCCACTTTAAACCACCTAACAGCAAAGAGGACATGCAGCGCTGTTCTTTTGTTTACATATAGGCTTCCCATATAAAAAAAAACCCTATATGAAATGAATGAACCCTCATCCTCATGCTGGATGATTTGCTAATAACTTGGAATGCCTGATCAAATGCTTAGAGGTGATCAGCCCTAACAAGAGCCTGATCTCTAAGGGGCGTGCATGACCGTAACACTCCCTGTGAAAGCGAGGTCTCAGCGGTGTGTTCCAGTGGCACAGGCAGGTGGAGCTGGGTGTGTCGGACAGGACACGGATGAGAGACATGGGCGGTGCCCGGAGGCAGATGGGGTGGGGGGGTGAGGGGCGATTCAGCCAAACCTTGTAGCTGGAGATGGAGTGGGGCTGGCTGAGCTCGCTGACCTGCCAGACGTCAGAACCCGGCGTCATCCTAACCCCCCCCTGACACCCACGTACCATCCCCTCCGTGCTGGCGAACAGACTGAGGGAGGGCGGCCGCTCCGTCCGACTGGAGAAAGAGAGGGAGACAGACGACACAGTCAGTCCCAGCCAGAACCACACCGAGCTGGGGGGGGCGAGGGAGCTGGAGGAGAGGATGCTGGAGAACCTCAGAGGAAGGATGAAGCCTGACGTCACCAAATGGGGCTTCTCTACAGCGAAGGAGCGCTGGAAGGGACTGTGGGCCCTGTACAAGGACTAGGGAGGCAAACCCTGTTCCTTTGAGCTCCTGCGGAGGACTGGACGACCGCAGTTTCAGGACAGGGAAAGGGAGGAAGGCTTGGACATCAGCAAGAGGTAGGGCTTGGAGGGACTCTTTCATTGCACGAATCCAGCCCCAGCATGCACTTGCATGGACTGAGAAAGGACAGTCGCCCCTTTTAAGAACTTTTCAATAAGTAGTGGAGATTGCATGGTTTGTTAGAGCCTGCGCTCACTGTGAGATGTATATTGTGAAATAAAGTTTATTTTGGTTTTAAAAAAATCAGCCAGACCGCCAACGACTGCAGTAGAACTGCCCACGGGTTTGGCACTGGTGATGACACACAGGGAAGATGGCACAGGGCTTGCTCACTTGTTCCTTTCATCAGTCTCCCCCAACTGCACTGGAATCTATCATGGGGGCAATAGATCCTACTGTATCTCTGCAAACTTTGAGGAGCCTGACACCCCTGAACCCCTGATCCCTGAAAACAGATCAGGCAGACAAAGGAGAAACTACGAGACATTTAAAAGTAGAAGAAACACTTTCAGTGCCATTTTTTGTGTAATGTCAATCCGCAAAATCTGACATTGACATCATGTGTCAGGAATGTATCGTCTCGTATTTGGGAAAGATCTGCTTCATCACCATCATCACATTTCTGGAGTATGTTATTGTGCCCAAGTATTTCAGATTCTCTCTAGCATTAAGTTACAGTCACATTGCACAGTTTCTTTTAGCTTCTGTCCTATTATAATAGAGTAACAACAGAATCTGACAATTAGGAAGATAAATACAGCAGTCAAAAAATGGAGGCCATGGAAAGAAGTGGACAGTAGCTCTGTAATGAAGGTTTTACTTTAAAAAAATGGATTCTAGCCAATTCAGCTATTTTCAGTAATCATTCATAAGGCTGACGTCATCATTCTGTGCTTGTTTGTTCACTCAAGAAGATACAAAATCATTATAATTATTATGATAAATAATTTTAAAATAACTTTGGCACAGGTGCCTGTGAGACATTTTGTGTGACTTTCATAAAATAACTTACTCCAGAGTAACAAAACATCCAGAGGTTCAGATACTTACAGAATGTGGCCTGATGGTGTGACACAGTTTTCACACTTACTTACTGACTCGGGGAATACTTTTCTGTACCATTTAAGGGTTTTTATATTCAGGGGAAGTATTACAGTAAAAGGAGGGTAACAAGGGTATGCAATACACAGAGGGGACCAAGTTTATAGAACAAAAAAAATAGTGGCACAGTCAGAAAACAAGTGTGGATGCCCGAAAAAAATAAGAGAAAAAACACAAGAAGATATGATAGCGCCACAGGAGGCAGAAGCTGACATTTCCTGACAGTACTGTATAATAGTAAACACTTGGTTGCAGGGTATACCACCAAGAGAAGTGAAGAGGGTGGAACCAGGGGTGGATCAAGTGGTCAGGCTGGACTGTACCACTGTAGCTTGAGTCCAGGGTGGGGAAAGGGGGGATCAATATCACAAGGCAGAGAATGTTTTCCTTGGATTTACCTTCTCCTCCACGTGTGGCGTTGACTGCAGTGACAAACAACACAGCAGAAACAGCACAGAGAGCAAGACAAGAGAGACACGGTTAGAGATTGCACAAGACAAAAACCACCACCACAGAGAGCATACAGCAGGATGTGCACGGGCTGAGGCACACTGGAGCTCAGCAGAGCTTTAAGCTGGCGACACGAGCCATCCTCCTGATGTGAACCATCTCACGATACCGCTGAGCGTTACTATCACGTCAGGACTGTTCCTACACTTCCTGGGTCTTTTCCAATTTAATTATCTGACTTTCCAATAATAAACCATCCAAAAGAAATTTCAGCTTTAAAAACAAACCCAGTTTGGTTAAATATGCAGGGAAGTACAAAAGACTATCTGGTCTATAAGCTTTGCAATGACGACATGACCTTTCTTAATCATTTAACAAGCCATTTAAGTATCTCACGGGAGGACTGGTATTTTATCTTGATGAAAATAAATTAATATAAATCTTTTTTTTTTTAAGTGGAATAGCCAAGGGCGCGTTGTTGCTGTAAAGAGCGGGCACCCTGGGTTCAATTCCCGGGGTGCTGTCTGTGTGGAGTTTGTATGTTCTCCTCATGTTCATGTGAGTCTTGGCCAGATTCTGTGGTTTCATCCCACAGTCCAAAGACATGCTGTTGGCTCACTGGCTTCTGGGAAAATTGTCCCTGGTGTGAGTGCAAGTGGGAGTGTGTTTGTGTCAGTCTCTCTTTTATACTCACTTAATTTGGAATCGTCAATCGTTTAAAAAAGCAGATTATAGCTTAAACCTTTGTACTGCAGGAGGAAAAAGAGAACGTGCCGTCACGCTCCTCTGGAACGGCCTGAACTATTCATCGTTTAACGTGCTTAACGAGCACTGCAGTGAGGGCGTGTCTCTCACGTGTCACTCGCAAGACCTCAGACCCATGAGGTTATCCTATCAGATGCACGACAGGAGTACAGCTTTTAACCCCACAGTTACGTTTTTTGTTAGACTTCTTGTTAGACTGTAAAATTTTCTTCTGCTTGAAATGTGACAGACAACACTGCGATCAAGATTCAATATAATTAGAACCAGGATCAATCTTCCTTTAAGTTGAAGGTTATTTCATTTGGGAGACCAAAACACTCCACTGCAGAACCTGCTCAAAAAGTGCATATTCCCTGTGGGTCGTGAGGAACTGCAGCACAGCAACCCTCTGTGCGTAATCCATAACTCCCTTGTTATCCACTGTTCCCTTGTTTCAGATCTCCCTTATGAAATCTGAAAAATGTCCCTGTCCACCACTGTCCAGGCTCTGTCACCTTAGTGGAAAAGCCCACAGAAAATGAGGAAGAAGGGAACTGCTCACTACCCCACTCTGACAGACACACCGTCGTGAATCAATGTCCATTCAGTCAGGAAGTGGCTTAAAAACCATCTCAAGGCTTATCATTAATGACTGCCAAAGGCTGTCTATAATCCCTGGCTCCACGGTTCTCTTGCTCTTGGTATTATATCTGATCTAAATGACACACATATTGGCAATCAGAAGGGCTACATGTCTCTGGGGATCCCTGGGAGGTCCAATAGCCTAGCTCAGGTGCTATCATACTATATGAAATGAGGTACAAAGAGTAACAGCCTTAAAATGAGAGTTCGCATGACTGTTTCCCACGTGGGCTAGTCAATGAAATGGTTTAAATTTAACAGAAGAGATTTGTGCACACAGTGCAGTCTTTGGAACAGTTTTTCAAGAAACAAAAGTAGCACATTGAATCAGAATTCATGTAATACAGCTGCTTAGAAAAGGCACCCTTTTCTTTTTTCCAAGGAAACAGGCATCTACAAATGTTAGTCAAAGCTCTATGGGGTTTTTATAGCAGTGTCTATTGTGCAGTGTTTCTTCTTTTCCACTAAAATGTGCCAACAAAGGGCTTTTCAGTTCTTCTGCTAGCTTCCTTTGCATGCTGTGTTTTTCGGAGGACTGACACACACCATCCCATACTGGAGGAATTCTTAAGACTGTCAATAAGTCAATACTTCTCCTAAAAGCCAGTAGAATCTGAGTGTTTGAGCCTTATGACTTTTTAGACTAGGATGAGGTGTGATTACAGGTTTTATAAGTGAAAATGGTCAAAATAATCAATAATTTTGGTGCTAAACGGAGGAGAAAGAAACTACAGATGTTGTGACTAGACTAATGACTTGGGTTAATGAAAGCTTGACTGTAACATGGCTCATTCCATACTCCACCAGTGCTTCTCAGACCTCCAGTGCACCCACAGCCCCACACACTGGCCATGCAGCTGACTGGTTGGCTAATGCACTTTCCACAGGGAACTGTTGCATCGCTCAGCTCAATGAAATGCAGCCAACAGCAAGCAGAATGATGGGTTTCACACACTGCCAACCCGGTGAGCCCGGCGGTGGGTTTCTTACGTTCTCCCACTGCCCGATCCTTCCGTCTGGCTGGCGTTAGTCCCAGCCTGCTGCATCTTGGACCTCTCGATGTGCTCCACATAGGTCTGGATCATCTGGGGGCAAAAGCGCTTTTCAGTCCTAAAACTGCACCAGTGGCACGATCCAAAGATGGACTAAGAAACTCAGAGATGGAGGTTTAAAATATCTCCGCAGCGCACTTGTCTGCCTCACTCTAGGGCACAGCTTTGATAAAACCGGACCTTCTTTGAGGTCATTCTTAAACATGCACTACTTAAATTTGGATGACTTTCTATATTGATTATATTTTAAAAAAACACCACTTAAAAAGTTATATTTCAATGTATGAAGTTCACATGTATTCATACCCTGGCACTGAAAAACCATCTGTATTTCATCCAACCAGATCATGCAGTCCCCACTGACTTGATTTAATTAGTTGCTGTTTGGAACGTTTGAAAATAACACTGTTTGTGCTTGGTCCTTCCATCTAGTTTAGTTCCTATTAACTGCAGCCATTTGTATAAATTGTATTATTAATGAAACAAAAATGAAAAACAAGTTACTACAGGACTTGAGCCAGACTCTGTGATGATCTACAACATCTAGTGTGTGGTGTCGTTTTTTTTTAACAGCAGAAGCTGCCTCACAAAACCAGCCATAGCTCTTAACGTTACAGCGCATGACCCCTGCCCTCGCAGAAATGAGCTGCCATACCTCAGTGTGTCTCTGGTGCAGAGCGTTGTACTCCTTCTTCATGTCGGACTCGCGCTCCTCCAGTCGGGATACTGAAAGACAGCAGGTTACTGCAGTTACGGCCTGTTTTTTGCCGTGATCTGGACATCTAAATCTCTGCTCTTCAACAGGGCAGTGAATTGTAGGTTGAATAGTTCGGCCCCGAAGGAATCCATATCATTAAATTTGTCCGGCCTGGGATAGCCCTCTTGCCCAGGCAGAACACTTGCCATATAGAATTCGGGGATTGAACACGGACTTTGAGAGCTATGTCTCTAAAACAGTTCAGTGTTCATGGCTGCAATCAGTCTAACCTGATATCCTAACTTTCCTAGCCTTGGGAGCAGCCTGTGATTTAGGATTGTGTCTCACTGAAAAACGGTCTTCTCCTAATGGGAAAACAGACAGATCCGACTGTAAGTCTTAATACTTTCTAAATGGTCTAGGCAAATTCTTAATTATAAGACTTGATCAATATTAGCTCAGGGATCTGCTCATACAGCCTTTACATCTACTAATCCCATTGCCTCAACACAAATCTCGGCAGTGTTCATCCCTTGAAAGCAGGATCTACAATCCTGAATTACAGGACCATGAAGAAGGCAGTTTCACAATGGCTGCCATGTGGATCCCAGAAACTCACTCTGATCGGAGTAGTTCTTGGTCTTGAGCTCCATCTGTTTTCCCTGCAGCTCCAGCATCTCCACCTGCGCCTGGAGCTCCTTCTTCTCCGCCTCCAGCGCATCTTCAAACTCGATGAATTTCTGCAGGGAGACATTCCGGTCAGGGGTGAGAGAGAGAGCGCTGGACAGGACCATGAAGGATTAGGAGGAGGTCAGACCTGACAGGGTGGGCCCCACTATACTAACACTGACAGGCAGCTGAATGCTGAGGACCTGCCCTTCCTGACATAAACAACTCAGTTAGTTACTGATGAAATGAAATAGGAACAACAGAATAAGACAACCTGTGGACGCTGATTAAATCTTGGGTTTGAAATGCTTTGTGCAATCAATATTGAGGGAGACCTTTGAAATGAAAAGCACACAGGTCTAGAATACTTCTTTCTTTTCAGAACTCAATACAATAAATACATTTATTTTCCAGGATGAGCACACATTAAGTTTCTCCTAGGTAACATATTCTATAAAGTCCTCAGCACGATTTGTACCAGCATGGTGCTGTGAGTCACATTCCCAAAAGCTAGGTATGCTAAGAGCCTTCCCGTGGTGTGAGTGAAAATATAACATTCAGGACTCTGGAAGAGTCACAGGTGTCTGGCTTAAACCTCTCAAGTCAGGCATATTGCAGCTGATTCCCTGGGATTTTCCAATTAATGGCTAGATTCTCTAATTATTAGACTCGGGAAAGCCAAGCAATCAAGATGGCTTCCTTCGCACTTCCTGTTGTCCTCATAGGTTGGACAAAGATTTGGGGAGCCCAGAATGGCTTCCAATCAGAAGCAGAAGTTGAACCACAGGGCACAAGTGGAAACTATGTGGAAGTGCATTTAAAACCAAGACCCAGAAGCACGTCTTTAAACAAAGGGTTGTGGGGGTCTAGAACAAGCTACTCAGTCATGTTGTCGAAAGCAATATCCTGTTGTTTTTTGAAAGACGGCTGAAAGAGATCCTTGGATCAATTAGTTTCTAACTATCAAACAGGCTAGATGGACTGAAAACACTTCTTTCATTTGAAACCTATCTTAGGTTCTCACTATATTCAGACTTAACTATACATGGCACTAATTAAAGCTCCAGCATTCAGACCCAGGATGATGACTGTTGATTATTAGTAAGGATGCAAAAAGCACCATTTAAGCATTGCACCTGTAGCTGGCTGACTTTGAATGTCTTTGAAAAGTCTCAGTTCAAGTCAATTGAGCCTTTTTCAATCTTGGGCACAGTGCTAGCCCAGGGTCAGGTTGCTGTAATTCTGTATCTCCTAGGTTAGCTGACTGCTGGCTGAGGTTGGGAATGACTGCAGCAGAGCCATGAAGCAAAGGGGTTCTGCGCCAAACCATCTGGCAATCAAATTCACATTTGCAAAATCTCTCCTGATTTGCACCTCCGCAATTTGGTGACAGGGCTACTAGCTATTATCATAGGTGCACTTCTTTATTTATTTAAGTCACAAGGCACCAGAATGTCCATCATACTGCAAAACTCACATGACACCAACCACATATGTATTATGAATGATGTATTATGAAATGTGTAACACTGCACTGGGTGGAGGACCTTTCTGGGCCAGAAAAGTGAAGAAATTGATAGGGGAATCAAAACCCTGAGACTCCAGGTTCCTTCCTCCCTGCTTAAAATGATGTTTACAGCACAACTGTTTTTTGCATTGAGACAAACACAAACCAGAGCTTTACGTGTTCTTTGATCACAAAGATTTATTTCTATATTACAAATCTATATTCTGGTGCATGACGTGCATCTTGTTGTAGAGAGACTTGTTTGGTTAGATGCAGCCTTCTTGTTAAGACCTCCCTTGATCCCTCCTGCTCAGCTTCTGTTCCTCCTCTTGTACTTGCTTTCCAATTCATTTAATTAGATTTAATTTAATTACACTTATATAGCTCTTTTCTGGACACTCCACTCAAAGCGCTTTACAGGTAATGGGGACTCCCCTCCATCACCACCAATGTGCAGCATCCACCTGGATGATGCGACAGCAGCCATAGTGCACCAGAACGCTCCCCACACACCAGCTCTCAGTGGGGAGGAGAGCAGAGTGATGAAGCCAGTTCAGAGAGGGGGATTATTAGGAGGACATGATTGGTAAGGGCCAATGGTAAATTTGGCCAGGGCATCGGGGTTACACCCCTACTCTTTTCGAGAAACGCCCTGGGATTTTTAATGACCACAGAGAGTCAGGACCTCGGTTTTACGTCTCATCTGAAGGACGATGCCATTTTAGAGTATAGCGTCCCACTCACTATACTGGGGCATTAGGACCCAGATGACCACAGGGTGAGCACCCCCTGCTGGCCCCACTAAAACATCTTCTAGCAGCAACCTTAGTTTTTCCCAGGAGGTCTCCCATCCAGGTACTGACCAGGCTCACACCTGCTTAGCTTCAGTGGGCTGCTAACTGTGAGTTGCAGGGTGATATGGCTGCTTGCTATCATTAACACACGTAGCACATTCCTCCTATCACTGGCCAAATAACAGCTTTCAGGGATGGTCCGCATATATTACACATTCCGCCTACCATCCATCCATTTTCTAACTCTTCATCCAATTCAGGGTCGCAGGGGAGCCGGAGCCTCTCCAATGCAAGCGAGAGGCACAAGGCAGGACACCCCCTGGGCAGGACACCAGTCCGTCACAGGGCAGACACACACTCACACCAGAGCCAATTTTCCCAGAAGCCAGTAATGTTTCTGGACTGTGGGAGGAAACCGTAGCACCCGGAGGAAACTCACATGAACACCGAGAGAGCATACAGCCTCCACGCAGACAGCACCCCAGGAGTTGAACCCGGGGCCCCAGCGCAGGGAGGCAGCATTGCTGACCACCGCGTTGGTGTGCTGCCAACTCCACCCCCCCAAAAAAATGTTTTTTTTTTCAAGATAAATATCTCTTCAAGGACATTTTTTTGTGTGTTTTGCTCCCTTTTGCCCTCAGATGTCCCAGCCCACTCCAAATGTGCTCAGTGCTTTCATAAGAGCAAATGCTACTGGGGACGTGGTGTCCGGTTTCAGGCTCTGTAATGTACTATTGATTTCTCAGGAGCACCAGCCCATCCCCCACAGCTCCGGTCTTGTTTTTCTATCCCTGCTCCGGGGAGCCACCCTAGTCCGGCACCTCAACGCTTCCTCACAGCCCAACTCGGGCCCGAGCCTGTTCTCCCACACCGGAACCCTAGCAAACGCCTTGTTTTTCCTGACATTCGGTACTCCGCAAGGACATGCAGACAGAAGTCAAGGACTCAGCTCTTATCTACCTCTCTCCCTCTCCTCTGCACAAAAGGATCAGATTCATTACTGTCCTTGAGTCAAAAGTGAAGCTGTGCACCAGATGCTGAGGAAAAAAATATATTTTTGCTTTAATGACAGAAAGCAATTTGCCAGCCAAGGAAAAATAGTTTATTTGCCTCTCTGAACTATCATTAGATTATTTGCAACCACAAGATCCAATTATAAAAAAAATACTGGTTTTACTACATCATTCTGCTGTTTGAGATCCACTTCAACAGTGCTTATTTTATTCCATTTTAAAGAGCACCGATTGTTTGAGAGAAAAATCTTATTCTTGTAAATGGCCAGAAAGGTAGTCCTGCGAGGACTGGGGTACCATAAGCTTTCATTTCAAAACCTGCTATTTATATGGAAAAATAAAAACAACATATATCTGTGATGGTTGCTTGTTGAACAGGATCACAACAAACGTGTAGCCTGCCACCATTATTGCAAGGAAAATTCGGAATCAACGTTACAAAGCTACACAAAATCAATTTTGCTCCTGAAATAAATTAATCCGTTTAATCAAAAGACGAGACTGTCGTCCGCGAACACTAGGCTTTAGACCTGAAATGTCTTTTTAATTTATGGATTTGCTCAGAAAAGTGTCTGCTGAGGTCCGCTGAATATGCGGAGCACTGAATTGTAAAAAAAAACACAGGACACTTCAGCCCTAAAGGTCAGCGCTTTCAGAAATATTTCAATTTGATTTTTATCAGCTTGCGCTGCAGTTGAATTTTACCACTCTATCCACACGAAAACACCTGCCTATGGTTTTGAAACGACGCAAATGTGATTTTACTTTTCGGAAGAGATTCACGTTAGACAGGATTTCTATATTGTTTCGGCAGAACGAAATACTGTAGCATTCGTAAAAAAAACACGTATTTATAACGAAACAATAAATAATTCCCTTTTTTATTTCAATTTCTTTAGTCGAATCACCATTGACTCTGAATAGTTCTTAAATCTAAAACTACTAAGAGTGCAAACACAGTAAATAAAACGAGACTGACAACCAATTTAAAAGGGCCCGTAAAGCGTGTTTGCTATGCTGAGCAATTCGAGGACGTACTTAAAACCAAGTAAGCATTTTTCAGCCGAACACTATGACGTTGCAAACTTTGTCCCTGCTTCGGTCATTGCTTGCAATCAGTCACCTTCCTCTGAGCGTCCCAGTCCGGCGCTCAGCTCTCGATTCAGCACAAATCTGACTCGCAGGTCTCAGGTGGGGGGGAGTGTGGCTGTGTGTTGCTTCAATGGCGCAGCCTGCAAAGGTGGTCTTGAGGCGAGTTGTGTACACCTACGGTGCAGGCTTGTTGCGGATCTTTCTGTTGCGTAGGCGATTCCCCAGGCAGCGGTGCACAAGTGGTCTATCGCGACCTGGAGACTGGCCACTATCGAGGGCAAGGACTCTGGGCTCTACGGGGAGGGTGCAGCGTGACCCAGGCAGGTTGGAGATGGGACGCAAGTGCACACGCCTTATGTGTTTACATGGAGGAAATAAAGCCGACCTGCGTGTAGCGGGAGGAGGAGACTCCAAATTAGGGCGTTTGGGGGATCAGCATGGCTGAAAATGAAAACTTTCACCTTATTCTCTGCCTGTAGTGTGGCTCACTTTCTAACAGGCGGAAAAAAGATAAGATAAGATCACTTTATTAGCCATGCATTAGGAATTTATCTTTTTGTATACTCCAGCCTGCTCTCCATGAGACACAAAGGTGGGAAGAGAGAAGACTGGGGTCAGAGGACATTAATACGCCACCCCTGGAGCAGCTGGGGTTAAGGGCCTTTGCTCAGGGGCCCAATGGAGTAGGATTCTATGGGCCGTGGGATTTGAACCGGCAACCTTCCAGCCACAGGTGCAGAGCTATCGCTCCGCCCCATTTAATCATGTTAAAATAAAGCAGTTCATCTTTTCCTCTGCATCTCCACACGTATCATTTTGGACTACATATTTCGGGTTGCAAATCAGAGTGGTTCAGAAAATTATTGTGTCATTCTTTTCTTATCCCAGCAAGCAACAGGCGCAAGGAGGGGAACACCATGCCTTGACGGGACAGACACACGCTCCCGCCAGGGCCAGTTTTCCCAGAAGCCAATTAACCTACCAGCACGCCTTTGGACCGAGGCAGGAAACCCGTGTACTCAAGGCGAGAAGATACAAAGTCCACACAGGGAGCAACCCAGGGCCAGAATTGAACCTATGGTCCCAGGGCTGAACCACTGAACCACCATGCTGCCTCAATTAGTGTCCAACATTCCCAAAATTCGGTGCGATTTAATGTTTATATCTGGGGCGGTTGGTGAGGGCTCTCTTTTTTAAAAAGAGAAACATCCCCTGTGCCAATAATGGCAAAATAGCCCAGGTATGGAAAGTTCGTATTCTGTTATTCAGAATTTCCCACCACAGTACGTCAACGCCGATGCCAGTGGTCAACAAGCCAGGCTTGCCTGTGTTCCTTGTCACCGCTGGCAGGTGGCTTGTCACCAGCACATGGGCCTGCTGCCTGAGCAGCCTCGGCCGACAGCACGAACCCCCCAGCCGCCCGAGGCTCTTTCTCACCTGGCGCAGGTGGGAAATGAAGAATGTGCAGACATGTGCAGGTCTGAAACCAGCCAAGCCAATACGTGACTGATTTTAAATTCCACTAGAGGGAATAAACCACGACTCAGTAGCTGGTTTGTAGTGCAGATCCCAGTGTTATAACTGGAGGGTTTGGAATTCAAATCCCAGGTAGGATACTGCTTTTAGACTCCTGAACAAGGTTCAGCTCTGATTGCTCCAGTAAAATGCCCAGCTGTACCCAAATGTAAATGGCTTCAGCCAGATAAATTAATAATGCATGCACAGTATGTTTCATGTACTGTACTCCCACAGCTACAGCTCCAAATGAGTAAAACCGACAGCATGACTGTGTCCATCACAATAGAAACTAATTAGAATCACCAGGCTTAATAGAGCCATTACCATGAGCGGAGTGCCAAACAGTTTTTTAAAAGGTCGCTTGGCAACCCAACTCTCATTAAAGGGCTTAAAAGAACTCGCTTTCAAACACGGCAGCTGAAACTTCACAATATTTTTCAATACGTTCAACTGTCTTAAACGTATTACAAACCTCGTTTAGACTTTAACGTTCAAGATGTAAAGATGACGGATCGGAAAGCACAATTTACCACACAAAGCACTAGGTAATCAGGTGGCGTGGAATCGTCATGCTAAAGACGAATAAACGCTGCTCCTGTCCATTTCTGCACCTATGTCCTTAATATAACGTTACTTTTCCACTACAAGTAAAAATGCAACATTCAGCAGCAGTAGAGAAACGGAAAGAATTCGGACAAACCAAACCCAACATATTCAAATCCAAACAGAAGATAACCTAGATGTTTGGATGCAACCTGATAACAGACGTTCACGTCATAACCTTAAAATAAGACAGCCGTCATAATATGAAAATGCGTCTTTGAAAGTTGTCAGCTGATACAGGCGGCAATTCGAACACGTTTTTCAACCGGCGGAGAAAAGCAAGAGACGTTTTGATACGCCCAGTGTCTGAACTACAGCAGCTGTATCGTCGTGACTAAAGCTCACAGACGCACCCTCGTCGCTATACAATTGTTGCGTTTCAAGGGGTCGCGTCTTGGCTATACGTTTAAGAAACTACTATGGGGCAAGTCTTTATATTAATATAATTATCTCACGGCTTTTGAGCACGCTTCTCCAGATCTTGCCCCCCAAAAAAGAGCAGAAAGCCTAATTATCACAGAGAAGATGATAACTGAACTGATTAAAACATGATTTAGCAGCTCCTGGACAAGAGACCATCTTGTGGTGACAAGATGATCATGAAATAGAAATAGTCTAGCAGCCTGAGGTTAGAAATACGGCAACGCATCCCCTTAACCTGACTGGGAGTAGCTGTGTTTACGCCTGCGTGCAACCTCTTTATGAATCCGTTTAGCAGCAGTACACGGAAATAGAAAGATAGCATACAAGTGATAAGAAAACGTAGTGGAGGTCTGTCTTTATCCCTCATTTTAACAATTGACCACTTACCACCAGCTGCTTACTAGATATCTAGGTACATTTTTAAACAGTCGCTCCCTCTATCAGACCCAGGTGAAACATTTAAAGCCATTTCACATTTAAACCAGCATCCCAGAAAGCTGTCTTGTGTAATGTAAATATGTCGCAGTGACCGTTTGTCTGCCTGTCACCTATACTCCACACTGTCTCTACCAAATCCCTATGACCACCTTCAATTTCAGGCGTGTTAGTTTTAATCTTCCTTTTTTTCCCCTAAGTTTAGGACAGAAAATGAAGATGGAGTGAAAGGGTAGGCTGTAATTTGGAAGATAACGTACTGTAATTGCTACAACCGAGAAAAAAAAAACACAACGATGCTAGGGTTCACAAACTTGTTTTTCTTTTGCTTGAAAGCGGTTTTTAGCCAGGGCCCAAGAAGCTCGGGGATTAGGTGAGCCTCGGGCGTCTGTTGACGTGCGCAGTGAAGTACATTTGAAAAGTTATAATCGATGGGGGTTTTTTAAACATAGGTCAGCGAATCGCTCGGGTGTATAAGAAACTCCTAAATAAATACATTTCCCAACCTATGACTGCGGGTCTGTGCATTGACTACAAGGCGATGACAGTACACTTTGGAAGAAAATGACCGGAACCCTAAAGATACTGACCAAGTTAGTAGAATAAGCCGTTACCGATGTGGGCGTTAATTGAATGACTCACTCGAACGCTGCTCATCAGCCAGCAGTCGTGAGAGACCATTTTTTTTTAAAGATACCTCAGCAATAACGGCATCTATGCGGATCAAGGGCCCGCACACATGCAGTGATGTCAAAGTGCGGTGGGCTATCTGAAAGGCGGTGCTCTTCCCAGGTGTAATTACGGCAACACGGGGAGCCAGTGCCGGTCTACCGCACCTCCTCCGCCTGTTTGCGCAGCGCCTTCTCCCTCTCGTACTGGGTGAGCAGCTGCTCGTTGTCCTCCTTCAGCAGCTCCAGCTCCACTTCGTGCTCCTGGTTCTCGGTCAGCACGGAGTCCAGGTTCTCCAGCACGTTGACCACCAGCGGCATCAGCTCCTTGACCACCTCCTCGTCGTAGCTGCGGATGAGGCGCTCGAACTCGCGGTAGATGCTGTTGGCCAGGCCGGAGACCCGGTCCGACATGACCGACACCGAGCCGTAGTCATCCTGGTAGACCACCTCGTCGAGCGAGATCTCCATCATCTTGGCAAGAGGCTCCGATAACACGGGCGGACGCCCCCCCTACTCCACCACCACGACCACCACCAGCGCAGTTCCGGGGGAGAAAAAAACAAAACCCTCAAATATAGAGGAATTTAATGTGATATACCGGTGTTTTTTTTTTAATTCAAGCCCCAAAATGTCATTCGCCCGTCTAAATATATTTCGCCTTTTTTCGTTCCAGTCTTTATCGGGCTGGGAGCGACGCAGACGCGTTCGCTTTCAGTGGCTCAGGTGATGCTCTGCAGGTCCCGAAATCCGCTTTTTTTTTTTTCAGCCCCTGAATTCCGAGACCAGGGCGACGCGCATCGTTTCCGCCGGCTAAAACCCGATATTTCTGTCGCTGTAGTTGAACGCATGCAGGGGCCAGGACTCTCCCTGTTCCCCGTGTCGCCCGGCGCGGCGGCCTGGATGGGGGCTTCTAGATGGTTCCCGGTCGCGTCTTGCTCTCGGCGAAGCCCGCATCCCTTTCCAGGCGAAAGCGGTGCAGTTTTTTTCTGCCCATTTTGTTGTCGTTTTTTTTTCCCGGACAGGAAAAACAAGGTTAAAACGGAACGCAAAAAAAAAAAACGAGGCTTCTAATTAAAATAATAAATAAACGTGCCTCACAATGCACCTGCCGGTCAGCAACCACGCAGTCCAGTCATCGCTGCGAGCACTGATGACACGCATGAAATCAGCTGAAAGCCGCCGTTCCCTGCGTGCTCCCTCCCCTGCCTCCCTCTTTCCCCTTTAAATCATATGTTGGTCCAGTCCGGCTCCACTCCGCTTCCCCGGGTTGGACCGGGTTAGGCGATGCCGTTTTCTGCGGCGCTGTCGGGATCCTCCCAGGCTGAGCGAGGCGGCTGACGTCACGCCGTCTGCAGCGAGCAGGCTCCGGCCGAGCCGGGATGTCTCGTCCTCGCCGCGCAGTCACGGCCGGCGTGAGAGCGCGTTTTCCCCAGCCCGCAGCCCCCCAGCCGGCCAGAGCGGTCACTGTTGTCTGCGGTGCTCACGGTCGCTGCGCGGACCCATCCCCTGGTAGCAAGAGGGCTCGGTGGGCTTCGCCAACGTGCTGCGTCACACAGCAAAAGCAGTGACCAGTGAAGAGAGGGAATGGAATCGATAAGCAGCTCATTTTTATTTCTGCTTTAACAACAACAACAACAACAACAACAACAACAACAACAACGCAATGTTCTTTATTTTCGCCCTGGCAAAGATACAGTCCTAACCCGCGACCACTCCATCTATCCTATATATGTCTTCTGAGATGAGGAGCCCCAGAGACGAATTCATGCCTAAACGTGCACATCACGAACTGCTCAGACTGCTATCTCTAACCGACAACAGAAACAGCAAATAACGTCTCAAACAGTGAACACAAAATCTGCGTTGCTTTAGCGTTCTGAGGGACATGTAATACACCTATGATGTTCCCTTCTCGTGGAAAGATACTATACAATATACAAAATTAAAGTAGATAAAATGGCAGAGGTGTATCATCATCACTCAGTGGTGCCCACTACACTTTCCCTTCAGTACAATTCCCTGCCAATTCACGGCTCATGACACGCCCTGTATTTTCACCTCTTGGTAAATGTGCAACAACGTAAAACCTCGTCTCTCGACCAACGTTTTTTTCCTGCAATATTGAACAAAAAACGACCCTGTTCCCTCCAGGTTATAATTAAAATAATACGGGACAGTGCTGTTAAAACCCGGCTATCTCATGGAACATTTATGAAGACCACGCCTGTATTGTCTAAAACACATCAAGTACTGGACACGCCATAGCAAAAGAGAGCACTTGTTAGCGTTCATCACGTTTGAATGTTTCTGAAATGAAAGGGTTAAAACATTAAAAAACGATTTTAATTTCCACTGCTGTTCGTGAACATATTCATATATATATAACGGTGACAAAATCGTTTTTGCTTCAAAAATAGTGAAACGGGTTCAAGGTAGTATAATCCACATTCACATTTGAACTTCAGTTTATTGAATTTAAGAGTTCGCCTCAAATATGGTCAAAGTGAGCTCGGCTGCAGCACCTTTGCCACAAGATCTGAATTTCTCGTCTCTGTAGAACAGGGAGCACGACGCAGATCGCAGCCTCAAGTCAGCTGCAGTGCTTATCTAAACTGCAGGAAAAAATCCATCTTGTTGTAGATGTTGGTCAGCATCAAATACAATTCGGGAATCACAGAAGAGCGGTTTGTATGTCGCGCTCTTTAAATAAACGAGAGCTAACCTTCTCTATATTCTCTATAACCTTCTTAATATTCTTTATTTACAGGCTGGTAACGGTTAATTTGCTCTACACAACGTTTAATTCTGGTAAAATCTTCAGAGTTTATCACACTATCATATTCAGTGATGTTCGAGTTTCTTAATATTATCTAGGAATGTGGATAAATTTCTTCTTATGCAGCGGCACAACTGGTAATGTTCATTTTCATTTACATTTTCATTTACGTGGGTAAGCTTTGTTTCAGTTACAAGTAATATTGTTAATGTTTTTATGTTCTCTGGGACCCGAAATAAAGGCAGTGCCCAAAACACTGATTATCCCTCAGGAAGGGAACCTGAGCTATAGGGTCGTGAAGAGGTGGGGGGTAGCTCTGTTGTTTCGTAGCTCTTGGCTCCCGTATTTGTTGGCTTCCTTCACCTGTTTTGAATGAAAGTTTCTGTGGAATGAGTGGTTGGTTGATCTACCGCTCATAAAGTTGCATCAGAAATACAGTATGAAGAACAGCGCCCAGCCGAAATAAGTGGAATTACATCATGTAACTGGAAGAAAGAAACAGAGAGGCACGACTTGTAATGACTTCGCGAAAGCAGAGCTAATGCATTTTTTAGAGACATCCTGTAGGCTTTTACAGGAAGAAAGGCAGGCTTCAAAAATCACGTGAAACCTCTCAGGCGAGTGTGTTTAGTTATGTTAGTGGGGGTCTGTATCTCCGGGCACACCGATGAGATCGTGAGGATTGTGCAGCTAGCCAAAATGCAACCCTCTGTCTTTAAAGTGATGTGCACGGCGTGACGTCAGGCACATGAGCAGGTGCGATCTGAACTGGGAGGCAGAGGGGAGAATGAGCAGCTGATCAGTTACACAGGTACAGCTTGGACCTGCAGTTGTTTATCATGGGCAAGCCGGCGGAAAAAGGTCAGTACAGGAACAACTAAAAGTTGGTCGCGTTTTTTAAACATGCGGGTCAAGAGCACCGGGTGATTTAGGGTCATCGGAAACGCTGGTAGCAATCCCCAGATGTGGTTGCATCTTGGAATTGCTAATGTTTCTTTTCCCGGATGATTTAAAAATAATGGTGAAAGTCAAAGTCTACTAGCTTCGCGTCTGTAAAGTCTCTTTTTCATGCTAACAGGAATATTTTTCCTCTCGATTCCTAACGCCTGAGCTACAGTGAATGTTTGCCCCTGCTGGGTCTACCCCCATCGCTACAAAGATTTCCGAAGCATTTTAGAAACACTTTGCTTTTTAAAAAATTAAAATATCTGTTGTGTTCTTCAGTGCAATTACAAATCTCCAACTGTATCCCCAGCTTCAGAAATAGAAATTGTCTCAAAACTGGAAACACGTTACAAATTCGCTCCCTTTACTTTTTGCACAGCGCAGATGTTGTTTTGTATGTCCCATAGCGATGCGTGGGACTTCTTTGACGAAAGCGGAGATGCTGGGTTTTATCTTTGTTACATTTTGTTTTTTTTACACTCGTTTGTAAGCGCTCTGTTCTTTTTAGAAACACTCTAAGCGTTGGGAGGTGGGTGTCATGTGGAATTAAGCAGCTGCCTGAGTTCAGACCTAGTTTACAAAAGTAAATGGAATGGATTCTTTTCAGGACAGTACACACCAGAGGGCGCTACGCCTTCTGAATGTGATCAGGGGGACATTGATGGGGTATCCCCGTGGTGTTTAATCCAGGTGAGCCCCTGGCCGCTGGAGGTATGCCTTTAACTGATCTGTTTGTTCGCAAACATCAGGTAAAGAAGACACTTTCTTACCTGTGGTGGTTTCAAATACTCTGCTTCATGCAGATTGTACAAAATTCTATACAGCCACCTCTTAATTTTCTTCTTTTATTTTGCCTGGGCTGCTCTTGAGAGTGAGTGGCAGGCAACTGCCCCTTGCTATTGTAGAGCTACTATCCATTACAATTCGCATTTGGCCTGAGGGCTGAAAGCAAATTTAGGGGGAAAAAAGATGCATCAGCTTGCAAACTGAAACAAATTAGCCTTCCCCATGTAAATTACAGCAAAAGGCAGATGTTCAGTTTTCACAGGTGTTGCTCAGGAACCCTATTTGTATATTTGCTAAATGTCACTGCTACATGGTGCAGTGTGCAGTATTTACAGCAATGTGTTCGCTGTCAGTAATAGTGCGATACTGATACGTCTTTCACTTTTTCTTGAGGTTCTGACCATTCTTAACTTTTAATTAAGAGCAGCAATAAAAACGGGGAATGCAAAAAAAAAAAGGTTTGTGGCCTTACGGCCTTAATTGCTACCTGGAGTTGTGACGCCACATTTCTTTTTGCAGCATTTTACAGATTCCTGGTGCTGTTCTTCAACTGCCTGCTGACGTTCGGCTCCTACTTCTGCTTCGACATCCCCAGTGTCTTGCAGGACCAGTTCCAGGGGGTGAGTGAGTGAGCAGTAGGCCAGAGACTGACCGACCCTGGGCTCTGGTGCGATCGCCTAGCCTTCCGACGTCACCGAGCAAATGAGGTTCTCCCATCTGAATTTAAACGCTTTTTTTCCCCCCGGTCCTGTGCGATTTAGAGAAGGCGGCTGCTGGCCCTTCGTTTGCACCCTACGTGGACAGAGATGGTCACCGAAGCTGCTGTGGTCATGCGTGTCACGTGTGTGACATGCTCTTGTCCTCCAGCGAGACTATGGCAATGTTGCCACCTTGTCAGCTGGTTTGACTAAGGTCTGACTCAGGTCATTACCAGTCCTGTGGAACTGTTTGTAAGAGTAAGGGCATTAACCCTGGTGTGCTGACTAATCCCCACTTCTGATTTGCACAATCTGTCCTACCTAGATGGATGGATGGATGTTTGCCTGTTATGCCTTCCAGCAAATCCTGTTGCTGTTACTGTAACATTTGTTTTTTATGGGACAGGGTTGTTAGCCTTGTGCCCAACCTCCAACATGGAGGACCGGGCGCCCGACGTGAGACACGAACCCACTACCCCGAGATTATGAGTCTGATGCTCTGCCAGCTAGCCGGGGCTGTCCTACCTAGACTTCTCTCTGAATTCGATTCCTGAAGTAATTTTTCACTTCTTTCCTTGTCCTGATGTGCAGGGGGGTGGGGTTGGCACACAATGACTGTCACAGGTCGCTGACAAGTGGGGCTGCACTTCAGTGACTGATGAAGGGGGTAGGCTCTTACACGTAAAGCACTTTGGGCTCTTTTGGGATAAAAGAGCAAGAAATGCAAGAATTGTTACTGTTGGGAAATAACCTGGTGCTCCGGGATTGTCTGAAGCAGATCATGTAGGACTTGTTGAATTAAGTGTCTTGACAGTTTGAGTCCTTGCTTCATTCTGTGTACGGAGGACAGGCAGCTCAAGGGTAGCTCCAGGTGGCGTGTCACTACAGATGTCTTCAAACGTGCTGGCTGATCAGCTAGGGACATGCCTTGGACTTGAAATTTCACCAGCTGTTTCCTCTGCTCAGAACCTGACGTGTCCTAATGCAATGGTAGCGAACGGCTCAGCTCCTGATGGGACCGGAGAGTGTGTGGAGGGGTTGGGGATGACTCCCCAGGAATACAACCTTCTCTACGCCATCTACGCCTGGACGTGAGTCTCGCACCCCTGCGGTCATGCTGACTCGCACCCATCAAGATGGCACATAGCAGAACACTGTGTTAGTTTGTCTTTTTAAGCTACTAGAGTCCAATGAACCATAGCTCTCTCCCTCTGCAGTATTCTGCTATTTTGTTTAATAACTTGGTAATATGATATATTGCAAAGCACCATCTTTTTAGCTAAAGCATTTTTATTAAAAAAAAAAGATTTCGAAAACGTCTTTCAGTTAACCTAATGTGTCATACAATTCCATTGAAGGGTTTCTAAAATTAAACTGCCTTATGTCAGTGAAGCACTTTTTATGGTGAAAGGAGAAGTATAAACTCGTAGATATAGAATAAGTTTTATTTCTTTTGCATAGTTTCATTTAAAGTCCTTTAAAGTCCTTTAAAATATGGGATCTGGGTAACATTCATATTTTGTCCTTGCTCCTTTCCCTTACATAATAACAGAGATGCCGAAATCTAGAGTAATTTGAACAGAATATTCTTTAGGCTTTGAAATTGGGAGCTGAAAATGATCGGTTTATCACAGTTGTTGGAAATACTCTTTCCTGGGGGCTGTGTAACTAGGATGTGTCATGCACTTTCAAGGCTGGGAGGCATTACAGAAATGTTAATAAAGCCTGGCTTTTTGCTAAAAGCACTTCCTCTGCTGTTTTCACTGTTTCTGCAGACACTGTTGTAATGGCACCTCCCTTGTTTGTCTTTCACAGCAATGCAGTGGTGGTGATCCTGGCTGGCTTCCTCATCGACAAGCTGGGAAACCGCTGTGAGTGACGCACTGAAGCTCTGCATGCGTACTGCTCTTATTAAGCAAAAGGGTCCCAGCACACACAGAACAGACTGTAGAGCAGGGGTCCCCAGACTCTGTGCTGTGGTTTGCTGTTATTTCTCTATACTTTCACACCTTTCCATAGCTTTTGTGAAGGGTTAACATCTACTCATAAACCTCAGTTAAATGGTTCCAAAAACCTTCTGGCTTGTCTTTGCACGTCAGAGCAAATTATGAGCAGGGCCAGATTTTGGTGTTTGTAGGCCCCAGGCACTTTCACTCAGAGATCTGCAAAAAGAGGGGTAGACGCCAGTTGAATTATGTCATTTTGTGTTGTAGGTCACTGGGTTCTTTGTGTTCACTGGATTTGGAAAGAGTCCGCACCTTCAGTGGGGGTTCGTCTTTTATCATAAGTGCTCCAGTGGGATGGGTGGGGGGAGATGGGTTGACCCACAAATAATTGACTCGTTCAACAACCTATCCATCCTTCAAGGATGACCGCTACCTCCAGTGTGACCTTTAGAATGTTTATTTACTCAGGTGGCTTAAATATTAACCAATGAATATCAACCAAGCATAAAAGAGTGCCCTATCATTATTGCAGCTGATTTACCAGTGTTTGTTTGCTGGGCTTATGGGTGCAGATGTAAACTCCTGTCTCACTACTGGGAAAAAGATACAGTAGCTCAGACAGCACAGTTTCTTAAGGCATTCCTATCACACCATCAGAGACACAGCTCCTTGTTGTTAACAAGGCTATGATTTTGAATAGAGCAGTTTTCATTAGTTATTGTATATAAAAAACTAGTAACACTGGTGCAAGACCAGTATGCAGCTTCTGTGCTTTAAACACAAGTGGGAGTCATTTAACATGCAGCCCAAGTCAGTGCAATCTCAGTCCTGCAGAGCTGTGTTCATACTGTTGATCCAATTCAAGCACGCCTTTCAACAGAACAGTGGCTTCCAAAGCAACATGGACATGGATCTTAAAGATTAGTTACTATCTTGAGATAAAACCCGAACTTTGAAACCCACAAGGTTAAGACTCACAATGGAGGATGTTGTTTGTCATCTTTCATTCAAAGTGGGCTCTCTCACTTCTTGATAGCTGGGTACACATTAACGTGCAGGTCCTCTCCGGAGCACGCGATCTGTGCTACACGCTGGAGAGACCTGACTCGATCTGTTTGGCCTTCCTGCAGGCGTGTTCCTGTTCTCCTTCCTGACTGTGCTGGGCTCTGCGGTCTTCGCCCTGGGCTCACACTTCAAGGGCACCAGCTACCTGCTGCCCCTGATGCTGACTGGTCGCCTGCTGTTTGGCTCTGGGAACGGCTCCCTGTCTAGTAAGGCTATCTCCCTGGCCAGAAACCAGTTCGCTGACGTGAAAACAGTGTTCACTATTAAGCCCAATTCAAGAAACGCACCATGATACTGGGAGGTTTTGAGGCATTTCAGGCCATGCTAAATTTCTCTTTTTTTAAACATACCTTTTATCACTATTAGATAGGGGAGAAATGTCTGATAGTTGGCTCCCTGAAACCTTTCTGATATATCTTCATTTAGCTGTGTAACTTTAGTATTATGGCCATTTGTCACTAGGTGTCATTGCAGTGTAAATGAATTTTAATTGTGTTTTCAGTTGTGGGGTGAATGTGCCTTTTCGCTGTTGCCTGGTTCATAGTCCTTTTAAAAGTATTTCAATACTGATGGAAGGAAACTGCAGTCCAGTACATTTTAAAGCCCTCCTTAATGTCCTTCAGGCCTGGTGGAACAAAACGGACAAGGGTCCATTCATGCATGTGATGAGAGAGATTTAAAAATACAGAAAATCAGCATTTTGCACAGCTGCCTAGTAAGGATGCATTTACCGATTGGCATTCAGAGCGGTATGAAACAGTCAGAAGGAAGCAGGAGAAGGGGCAGAAGACCTCTTCAGCTCCCACTGAAAGCTTCATTACCATCATGTCGGCCTCTAAGGCTGGATCCGCCCCTGTTTTACAGCGTACACGTGCATGTGTCTCTGTCCGGGTATCGACTCCGGTGTCCCTCTGCCTTGTCCTCAGTTGTGCAGAACCGCATCACGGCATTCTGGTTCAAAGGGAAGGAGCTGGCCCTGGCGTTCGGCCTGACTGTGGCCTTCTCCCGCCTGGGCTCCGTCCTCAATTTCTTCTTCACCCAGCGGGTGGAGGCGCATTTTGGGCTACAGTGGACGCTGTGGGGAGGTGAGTCCCGGGGACAGCGAGACAGTGGGACAGTCGGCAAGACCGCCGCCACAAAGCACAGGGAACTTGAAACCACAGCGCCGTCCTTCCCTGAGATTACTTTTTCTGTCGTCACTTGGTTCTACCGCTGAAAAGTGTTTCTCAGGAACAAAGAAAATGGGTGGAAAATTCAGCAGTTTGAGTCATTTGATTACTCAAAACCATTTATTATCGTTTTATTGGACTTGATGGGACTAATAATAAAATAATCCGAAAATAGTGTTTATTAGACCAGGGGTGTCCCTCGCTGGTCCTGGAAATTAGCTGTGTCCAGCAGGTTTTATAAATCACCATTAAATCACAAATTTTAAAAAGGGTTAGGGCAGTTTAACGGTGATCAGGTTAAACAGGTGGTTAGTTAAATCAAGTAATTTAGAGATAATTCAGGGAGAAAAATGTCATTTTCGTCCATTAAGGACCAGAGGTCTCCTAACTGAATACGTGACTTGTTTAATATACAGGTGTTCCCTTTAGAAACTATATAATAGCACAAACTGAACTAGGGAGCTCTGGGACAAGAACTGGACAGCCCAGCAAATTCCCCTTTTCCTTTTATACATGGTTAGGGGCAATTTTTTAATTTATTTTTGTTCAATTTACAATTCAGTTTTGAAATGTTGACGTACAGCAGACTCAAGCAAATATGAAAAGCAGCCCCACTCCCTCAGAGTATTGTTTCATTTTGAATAAAGTTAAATTTCGTTTTCAATATCACACCCGACATCCAGAAGGTCTTAACATTGCGGTTTCCATCAGGATTAGAAGAGGGGTGATTGTGACGAAATGTTGGTTCTTGTGAGCCTGTTACTCTTCAGACCATTCTTCACCATTTGGCCTTTTCACACTTGTCTTTTCTGGGCAGGGTTCCCCTTGCACACATTTCTCCTCGCCCGTACAAGGACACGGGAAGACGAGGTCATTCTTGGGCTGGGCTTAGAGAGCTGTAGCCTTGCAGATTCTATTGACAATCTTAAATGGTCAGTAAAGGACTAACAGGCTTGTGAACCAGTTGTGTTTAAGTTAACTGGACAGTTAGTTGGCACTAGGACTGCACTGGACCAGGGTTGCAGGTCTCTGGTCAGCTGCGGTGTTGCTCTGTGGGCAGGTACCTTCCTGTGTGTGCTGGGTTTCCTGGCCGCCATCACGGTCAGCACGCTGGACAAGGTGGGCATGAGGCAGTTGGGTCTGGATGGTGCCATTCAGGAAGAGTCCAGGAAAGTGGTGAGTGACCCCACCTTCCTTCCCGGCCACTCTTCCGTCACTGCCTCCCTCCCCACCTCCCTCCTCAGTGGTGCGCCCCACGTTTTGGCTGAATCGTCAGCCGACACCTCAAATGCAGAAGAATCTCAGCCCCCCCTGAATCCGTGAAGCACAGATTGATGGCTCACACAGCATCTGTGTCTGATCATTCGTATCTCCTGTGATGGATGGTCTCGGCTCTTCTGCTGATCATGAAATGGGAGGGATGATTATGGAGCAAGTAAGAGGTTTGTTCCATGCTGAAAAGAGAAGAAAGAAAACGCAACGTTTCGGCTGTGGAGCCTTCATCAAGTAAGGCTCCACAGCCGAAGTACCCGAACCCTAGCTCTAGAGAATCCCAGGCCGGTTTGTCGGATGTTTTTAAAGATCGCCCATAACTGTGAGCTGCTGATGAATCAAGCAAGTGATTACTTGTTCCTCTTCAGCCTATGCATGCTGCCGCAGCTACCCACCTGAGCTAGAATGATTATGGCACCTTAGTCAAAAAATGACGTATATAGCAAAGTATTATTGCCTAATACATTTGCATTCTCAAGTTCCAGAAGAATTCAGTTTCAGTCTTCGTCTTTCAACAGCCGCGCATGGAATTGAAATGCTCTGTGTTCCAGAGACGTTAAAGGAGAATGGGTTGATGCTTGAGCAGCAGGTGCTGGTGGGCCGGGCGGAGATGCTGGAGGCAGAGTGGGTGGCACTGTGGCTAAGGATCTGTGCCCGTGGCTGGAAGGTTGCTGGTTCAAATCCCGCAGCCGGCAGAGGAATCCTAATCCGTTGGGCCCCTGAGCAAGGCCCTTAACCCCAGCTGCTCCAGGGGCGCCGTATAATGGCAGACCCTGCGCTCTGACCCCAGGCTCTCTCCCTGTCTGTGTGCCTCATGGAGAGCAAGCTGGGGCATGCAAAAAGACGAATTTCTAATGCAAGACATTTTATAGGGCTAATAAAGTGATGTTATGGTGGGTTGAGGTCACACAATGCTGGACCCCCAAGTGGAGGGAGGGCAGCTTCTCATGGTGTTTCTGCCTGTACAGAGGGTGCAAAATGTGCGACAGCTCTCCCTGCGGTACTGGCTCCTTGTCCTGACCATCATGTTCTTCTACAACGGGATCTTTCCTTTCATCGCCGATGCGAGGTATGGCTAAGGCTCTTTTCCTTATCTGAGATTTTTTGCAATAGGCAGTGTGACTTTGTCCCTTTATGCCAGTGGTTTCTGACCCTAGCTCTGGAGAACCCCCGTCCGGTTTGTCATATCTTTTTAAAGAACGCCCACAACTGTGAGCTGTTGATGAATCAAGCAAGTGATTTCTTCAATCAACAGCCTTCTTGTCCTAAAGCGCCAATGAGTGCTAAGAGTTTAATCCTAAATGATCACGACTTCATTGATCAAATCACCTGTTTATCTGATCGCAGTGGAACTTTTCCTCATCCTTAGAAACTGGTGGGCTAGTGCTGACCTCTGAAACCTGCAGGCATGTGCTGAATTGGTGCTTCCCAGCACCAGGGCTGGAGATCCCTGCCTTACATGGTATACAAAACAAGAGGATTAAAGCTCTCGATCTGTACAGCATGGAGCTAAACCATGGGTGATCTTGCCTGTTCCTGGAGTGTCACATGCTGCATATTCATTCGGAACTCTAAATCACCAGAAATGATAAACAAATAAGGCTGCAATTGCATAAATGCCCAGGTTTTATATCAGTAAATGCTGTGCCTCTCCATACTAGGCTGCTCTGACTGACAGCAAGAACTGATTAGTAATCTTTTTAATGCAGAAACCTCATGTCTGGTATTCTCTAATGCATGCGGTCCTTCTGTGTCTCCAGTAAGTTTATCCAGGACAAGTACAGTACGTACAGCCAGAAGGAAGCCTCCTACATCGCAGGGGCAGTGTACGACAGCTCTCTGGTGCTCTCAGCTGCTGTAGGGATCCTCATCGTAAGTACAGAGACCAGACGGCCTCCCACAAGCTCTGTCTCGCCCTGAGATCGGCTTCGTTTGTCACTGGGAAGACGAGTGATGCATCATAGGCGAGATCATGAAGTACAATTGAGCCCGTGTGTCACACACCATGAAAACAGAAGGTGCGATCTAAATTGCATATAGCCAAGTGTCAGAGCTAAGTGTGTGTTATACTAACAGCACTCTGTCGGCATTGCTCTGTGGTGTCAGTGCAGGACGATAACAAGGCTAGTGAGCGGGTCTCGGCCCTTTTTAGGTAGTTGGTTCCAGTAAGGAAAAGGTACACAACTCCGGTCCTCCAGGGCCAGAATATCTTCAAATCACAAACAATTAGCATCACGAAAAAAGACCTTAGAAAAATGCCAGACTGGTCCAGCTACGCTGATGATCTAGAGCTTAGCACTATTGCGTTGGGAAAGTAGATGGGAATAAATGATGGGTGTGAAACATCTTCATTCTCTCGCCTCCAGGTTCCATGTGATTGGCTACTCTGAACTGTTCCCATAACCCCCCACACTTCCTCCTTCTTACTTTCCCCTGGTCTGAGCAGTTGGGCACATGTGTGCAGGACATGTAGAAGGTGTTATGTAGAAATGTAGAAAATGATGATGAAATGTTGTAAATGTTATCTAAATATGGTAAAAGCTGTACTATGTGGTATCTCAAAGGAAAGAAGAGAGCCAGATAGTCAAGTGTCACAGTTTGAGCATGTTACTACATAATAATAATACCATACAGAGTCAGAACACACTCTTATACAATACGTTGGCACTTAAAATTCTTACCATTATTACAGTACTTTAATGCAAAGTAACGTTTGCAATGTATTTCAAGTATACAGTACTTTAATAATAAAACGATAATTCTGAGCCTGACGTGCTGTCGTGTTCGTGCGTCGGCAGGACCATATCGGCCTACGCGGCGTGTTTGCAGTCGGCTGCGCCGTCCTCACCCTGCCCGTCTTTGCTCTCCTGGCCTTCACCTTCGTCCCCCCCCTGGTCTCCACCGTCTGGCTGGGCATCACCTACTCCTTCGCTGCCGTGAGTACACGAGATCCCTCCTGACTCAGGCCAGCCTCACGGCTGACTGTGATTTCACCGGTGGTCCCTTCACGAGCCGCCAGAGACCGAGCGATTAAAGGGGTCTCAGCCCGGTTATTAAGTCCCGGTAACGAGATCAATTAATTGACGGTGCAGAAATCTTTTACAGACATAGAATTAAGCACACAATCCTGAGCCTTGAGAAAGTACTGGCAGTCGCCACGATGTTGCAAACGATGACGATGACGCGGCCCTTCCTGCTCACTAGTCCCTGTAATGACCAATGTGATGAGATGTACGAGTGAATGAGTACGGGTTGAAATCCCACCGCAGAAAGTTTTCAATGTGATCTGCGTGCAGAGTTAACAGGCAAGTTCCGTTTATTGGCAAAACCTTCTCAAAATTGAGAGCAATAGTTCTACTGGATTTAGGCTGCTTATTGACAATGTCACAGGGCCGCATCACGCCACTGGAGGTTTTGTTGCCTCGTTCTGAATTGCAGAACGTAGCGCTACGCATCCCTGGACATGTAATCTATTTTGCGATGTAAATTGGTACAATGTGTACATTTTTCTTTTATTGTGGTGTGAAACACGCTCATCAATGCTGTTCCCCTTGAACTTCCATTCCCTAACTTGTTTTACTCACATGTCCACCTTGCGATTCCGTGTTGCTTCCTGAAACGCTCACTATATAGTCGCTCATTGTTTCATTTTTACACATTTCAATGCGCAGGCTCAGACCTTGTGAATTTTGACCTGTGGCTGAAGTGAAAAGAAGGCTTCTCTGGGGTGGGGGATGCACGAGGGGTCGGCGCTCTGAGAATTGTAGGAAGTAAATAAGCTGAACTATGTTAAGTTGAATCCGGTGATGTGTGTATGTGACGTGTCAAGTCATGTGAAAGTCTCAACTGCGAGACAAGTGCTCTTAAGTGTGCGAAGACAAGGAGGGGGGGGTGATTGGTAAATCACATTTAGGTGGTGATTTGCTAGCCGGAAACCATGATGTGTTGCTCAGCGATGGAAAGGGAGCTTTGTTACTGTTCACACTGCTGTGTGGGCTGTGATTTGCCCTCCTATACATACATGGGTGGATTGGAAAGAAACAGCTTTGACAAGAAATGCTTGAGATTGAGTTGAAATGAGTGACATTGAAATAATCCATCTGCACCAGTGTTGAGGCTTGTGATCTTAGGGCGAATGGGAGCATTCTCTGGAATGTTTGAAAAGCTAAAAAGTGGAACTGACTTATTTTTGCAGACTTGAGGCAGTTTGATTCAGCCCCTTGTTTGAAACATAACAGTTCCTTAAAAGCCTTAAAAGCTTGAACTATTATTTGTGCTGCTCATTCGTGATCTGTAGGGTACAAGTACAGCCAGCATACAACACTCAGTCTGAGCTGTGCACCAGAAATAATATAAATGGAGAATATTCAGAAAAGTACAACGATCACTTATTTTATTATTTTTTTCTAGTTAGTATCAGTATCATTGTTTTTGTTTTGTAGACTGGACACTTTTTAATCAAACCATTTTCTCTTCAAGCAGATTCTTTGCTTAAGTACCATGAATGCTGCAAGTAGTTTAAAGAAATGGTTGTTCACCCCAATTCATCCTTTCCCTTTATTGTACACAAACGTACTGTATGCATTTTCTCCTGGATTTACATGATCTGTGCAACTTTTTTCTTTCAGGCAAGCATGTGGCCATCTATCCCTCTGGTTGTCCCTCGGGCAACTCTGGGGACAGCTATGGGTCTTGTCACCTCAGTACAGATGATTGGAATAGGTATCTCCAACCTTATAGTTGGGCAGATTCTGGGAACCAAGTCCAGGTATGGCATGCTGATGAAAAATTCCCTGATATTAAAAACAATACTCTTTATTAGAGTGACCTTTTCCCATTGCAAAGGTCAAATTTTGGACCTTCCAAACTTTTCTAATTCCATTGACTTTTTTAAAAAATAAAAACAATTTTCCAGTCAATATCAAATTGTGATCTTCACTGAAACTGGAGCATCTCTTGATATTTTTTTCCTGTTTCAATTTTTGTTCAATTTCTGCTTTTTTGTTTTTCAAAGGGACAACCGTTTCAATAGAAGGATCCTTTTTTTTTTTGCTGGAATAACTTCTCATCTCCAGCTGCAGTTCTAAAAAAAGCTCTAAGCGTTTTTTTTTAGAGCTTTTCAGTGGGCTTTGTACATGGTTTTGTGAAGCTCCTTCCAGGAAAGAAGAAGCGTTCTGCACAGCCTGTGCCGAAATTAACAAATATAGCAGAAAATTGCCTGCAGCCCAAATTATCCTGTAGCTGCGGTAGAAACAAAAACGCTGTTTAAAGAGGAAAAACAAAACAAGCAATGCAAAAGAAAGAAAATAAGAGCAAGCGTTATTTTGCTGTTTACTTTCTTTTTCTGTCCGTTAAATATTCCAGATCAGGCAACTCCCAGCACATTAGCAATAAATCATTTGGTATTTATATATTTTAATTCCAGGGCACTTCGCAAATAAAAGGGGGACCCACATCAACTATCACTCCACAGCAAATCAGGGGGGGATGTGACCAGCTACCTCAGCGGTAGAATTAAGGGGGAAATCGAGGCAGGCGAGACTGTGGAAGCCCACAGCGGGATTTAGCCACTCCAGCGGAATTAGCACCCATACCGTTAAGAGTGTTGCTGTGGAACTTGGTTTAACAGCCCCTTGCGTGACCCCCCTGGTGCTTCAGTCTGCCTGTCTCGGCCTCTTGCAGTGATGTGAAGATCCCGCTGTGGCGGTGGCAGCAGATGATGGTCTTCATGCTGGCCAATACGATCGCCTGCATCGTCACCTCGGTCGTGCTGAACGTTGTGGATCAGCGCCAGGTATGGAAACCACCTTAATATTTGCTTTTCTTGCCACACCAGTATTCCGCTTTTCCGTTTTGGAATTTCGTCTGGACTGGGGGAGATTTAATAATTGGTCTAAATATAAAGGCCTTCTTGTGGTTTAGTGTGGTTTGGTATTGGTATTTTTCTCAAAAACAAAATGGTTACCAGCTAGTCTTGTTGAGATGCTAACAATTTTGCGGTCATTCATTTTATGCTTTCTTGGAGACCTCTTATTGTTACATGATTAATTAAAGGGCTTCGTACAAGCTTCTGTTTAAGCCAGGAGATACAAGCCTCAACACGAACATTGCTCTCAGGTGCTCTGGTTTTCTTACTTTCATTTTGATTCCTGGAGGGCTCGAACCATCTTCTAAAGAAAAGCTGCTTGCCTTGCAGGGTGGGACCCTCAATAAAACAACAAAGCGCTCCTCTGAGGCACCCCGAGAGCCTCCTGCCCACTCCTCAGAAACATCTCCCCTTCTGGAAGAGGAGGACACCATTCGCTTCCAGCCCATTGACAGCTAACGACCGCCTGCTGCAGCCCAGCAAAGGGAAAGCCTCTGGCTTGAAAGGGATAACAGGGCTGCACTTTGCCTTTTCAGGAATGCTAGGGAAAACACTTTCGGCGAGGTCTGGAAAAAGGGATAATCACACTTGGAAGAAGTGTTGGCAAGGCCACTGCCGAAAGATTCTATAACTCTCAGAAGCCAATGCACATACAGATTTTCTGGTACGCACATTAATGACAGAAACTTTTAGTTTTAATAATGACAGTTTTAGTTTTAGTTTGTTTACACTATATGGTTTTCAGAGACTCATGGGAAAACCCAAGATCAGTGATGTACTCCAAAAGTCTGTTGCAGTTTAGCTAGAACCATTTCTGGTGTTTGGTGTATTACTGTCCAAGCACGAGATAGCCATTTAATTATGGCGTATTTTGTTGTGCACACAAAAGCACCAATGTTTTGCTATGCCAGTGGGATTATGCAAGTCAGGAAAGTACCAATTGCTTCATGCACTTTTGTCTTTTCCTGCCTTGGCATCAAGGATAGTACATTTCAAGCAAAGTGGATCCTGTCTCGCAGTTTAAATGCAGTTATTCTAGCTCTTTTAGTTTCTGAAATGTTATATTGCTATTAAGAGCACCAAGACCGAGCGGATACTATTAATGCCCATTTACTTAAGTATAATAGATTTCAGTTGCAGAATTACTTGATTCCTATCTTTCTTAGGTGCATTACACAGTGCTATAAACACCAATATGCAGATTTCTCCTGAAGGAAGATGTTACAAGTATTATTGCTGATGACCTCAATACTTTCTTTAAACAGTTGGAACTGGTGAGGCTGTGTACTTTCTACACTATTTTGGAGTGTTTTATAATAAGGTATGGAAAGATCTTAAGACTTTTGAACATCCAGTAGAATTAATAAATTAAATGGGTACCTAAAATCATTCAGGAACATTTCAATAGCATCATTAAAATTTATTTTCCCAGTTTCAGCTGAGTTATCAGTCCCCTGCATTAAGAGCAAAATTTAAGAACCTCCATTTAGTGAGGGATATGTTTTTCCACCATCGCTTTGGCATAGAACAGTCTTCCTGGGGTAAGGCATGGCCTCCTAATAATCCCCATCTATGAATTGGCTTCATCACTCTGCTCTCCTCTCCACTGAGAGCTGGTCTGTGGGGAGTGTTCTGGCACACTATGGCTGCCATCACATCATCCAGGTGGGGCTGCACATTGGTGGTGGTGGAGGGGAGTCACCATTACCTGTAAAGAGCTTTCAGTGTCCAGAAAAGCGCTATATAAGTGTAAGCAATTATTGCTTTGAAAATTGTGGCCAAAAAGTGAACACGCAATCAAGCAAGCAAATCAGCCAACTTAATCAAAATACAATTGTTTATTGCAAAGAATCAGACACAGGTTTTTCTGCTCTACTCACTGCCAGCCAGGCACATTTGTATGTAGTAAGGCACACAAAGTAAAGGCTGGCACTTCGTGGGCTGAACACACAGGGAACACACCACACTGCAAGATTCCCTCCATGAGGAAATCACCTCCTCTTTTCCTCTCTTTCTTCACATGGTCTTCAAGTTTTAATTTAAAACATAAAATGCCCTCCCGAGTTCTGTTACCACATTCTTTGTAGAACCAGCAATGGTAAAACAGAATACCCTGCCAATATTTTTATACACATATATAAAATTTCTGAAGCACTTTTTTGGCTTGCCCATTACTTTTTGGCGCTGCAGTTCCTAAATATGGTTTACCAAGAGGACAGTATGTTTCAGACAAGTCCGTTACACAAGGCGAGGCAGAAGGGGGAGGAAAGTAAATTGCAGACCAAAGCTCTTTGCTGTAAAACTAAGAAGTGCTGCCCTGGCCAAACAATGGAGCAGCATGGGATTGCAAGATGGTCATTTCCTTTGCTGGATTAGTCTGCATGCGTGTGGGTAAAGCTAAGATCTTGCAGTTTGCTATAAATCAAAAAAAGCCTCTTTGCTACACCTGGGACAAACACTCATCAGCAGGTAAGGAAAAATGGATGATTTTCTCAAATGAGCTAAATCTGAACTAGAATAGAGGCAGTTACATTTTGAACACAGGTCCGTTTCAAAAACAGTTTTAAAATTTCCACATGATAAGAGCAAAGCGAGTGAGAACTGTAGAAACTTGGGACAGGGGCTGTCAGACCTTCACGATGCGCTTCCGAGAGCCGCCTACCCAGTTATTAAATCGGTATGAACATTAGTAAAAATTTACGTCAATTTGGACTCAACATAACCAGACGCAAATTGAAGCAAAGTTATTTTAGAATAGTACATCACCCACCTAACTCAGGAGCTACACAGAAGCAAGAACAACATACCTAAATCACGGTAGAGAAGTACAGCAACTCTACAAAGGTTCCTGTCGGACAACGGGAGAAGGAAAGTGCAGGGGACGAGGGCGCGGGCCGTCAGTAGAAGGCCACGCTCGACTTGCCTCCCGGGGGGTGGATGACCTTGTTGTGAGAGCGTGGCCTAGGGCCCAGCCGGGGCTCGTGGTCATCCACGGAGGCCTGAAGGGCCGCTTCCTCCGAAGGAGGCTGGGGGGCAGCGGCCTCCTCCTTCTCCTCCTCCTCCTCCTTCCCGTTCTCCTTTTCCTGCTCCTTCGGTCTCTCCTCTGGCACCTCGGCCTTCGGCTGCGGAGCTGGACGGGCAACATGCAGGAAAACGGTCGGTGAGCGGGAATCAACACCCACCTCCCATCACTCCGGGTTCACAGACGCCCTGCGAGGAAGTCTGGGTTCTCCTTACTAACACGCCACAGCAGCAGATCCATTTTCTTCTTGCTTTCTGTGCCACTGGGTTCTATAAAGAATGATCGCCTCCCTTTGCATTATCTCCACCCAAACATCAGAGAAGGTTAGGTAACCACATTGCCTGAAGGAGTGTAATCACTTCCTAATACCCACACATTACCATTTCCTAAAAAATGAAGTCTACTCGTATTATTTTGAAAGGTCCATAGTACTAACGTGGTCTCTAGAGTTTGCTCCATCCTTGTGCCCCACATTTCCTTAAACCAAGCAAATGGCACTAAAAACAGGAGAAGCAGTCAAGAAAGGATGAGGCAAAGACCATGTCCTGGAGTTCAAATGATCATATTAAACCTAGAAGTATTTGTGTGTAACCCAGTATGAAGTCCTCTACTCACATTCAGGTTCCTGATTTGAATCGCCATCTTCAAATATATTGGTATCCTATAGGGAAGAAAGAAAAAAAGGATAATTATTTCTGGGGAATCTGCTGCACAGAGCTATTGCAGCATATTCAGGAAGCTGGATCCAATTTTAAAACAGTTACATTTCAGTTAAATGAACAGGTATGTTTTCACTTAGTAAGTAATGGCTTCCCCAAACCCTTAGGTTTTTACAGCTGCAGTGAAGCTTGCACTACTATTCATTCCCCTTCAAATCTGGAAAAAACTCTCCATGTTTTGGATTCACTATTAGTTGCATTCACTGAAAATCCAACCTCAACCCTCTGCATCTCTTTTATATGTTCCGAAGTGCTTCAACGTGAGATACGTGCCTTTGGTTTGTTGGGGTGGCCCCGGACAGCCGTGCTGCTCACCGGGTCCCCAAAGATATTGCTGCTTTTCCCCCCCGGTGGGACATGCCGCTGCTGGTGACGAGCCGTCTCGGACTCTCCAAAAATCCCACTGCTCTTTCCACCTGCACAACAGACACAGAAACAGTCACTCCGGTGTGCAAAGTTGTAGATTTGAGACTACAGGGCTGAAATCCCAAGTCCAGTAAAAACTGAGGATTTTGTAGCGACTTGGATTTATTTGAACTGCATCAAGGGAACAAAAGTATACAAAAAACACTGGCCTCGGGCAGTCGGAAAGAAAAGGGCACTAAAGAAACCACAGCACAGGGTCGTGAACAAATTACCTGGATATACATTTTCCCCAGGATTATTTTACACTGCATTTAGGAGCAGACAAACTAGGACTCGCAGGGCAAAGCAAATCAGCATTACAGATACAACACAGATGAGGTCTCCAGGCCCTCCGATTCATCCAGCTCACGCCCATGAGCAACCCCGGTCTATTACATATCCTTCAGCACCTCGCTGATCTGTCTAAAGAGTCTCATGGCTTCAGGTTCGATTTGCATTCGGCCTGGCAATATCTGCTGACAGGCTGTGAAGGTATCATGACTCGCCACCTGACAAGTCAATTAAAATAATCCAATCAGCCACCGCTCGTCAAAAAATGGCTTATTCCTGGTGGAGGGGGGTTCACAGTGACCCAAAGAGCATCCCGGGAGCACAGGGTCAGTGCAGGACACCAGTCCACTGCAGGGCTTGCGCAAGCAAACACACAGTCAACTCCGAGACCCCCAATCCACCTAGAAACCACCTCGTCTGAAGCAGCCAGCGAAATCCACCACAAAAAAACAAGAGGACTTCTCTTGCTTGAAATTCCTTGTTTTGAAAAAAAGTTTTTTTTTTTTAAGATCTAGAGGAAAATATTTATGAAAATCCCTACTGCGCATTCACAAACCACCATCACTCAGGCTGCAGATGGCTCTTTGCTGATTTGGACAAAACACCAACAGGAAGTGTCCAGCAAAAACGACACTTTTAGGAATGGTACACGCACAGCACAGCAAATTCTCAGTCTCTCAATGAAATGTTAGGAAGGGTGATGTCTCTATACCCTACCAGTTATGAATTGACATTGGGATGCGGTTTCACCTTATTTCACAAAAGAGGCTGGCAACAAGACAGGGGCGGCATAAAACATTTGCTGTGAAGGCACAGCCTACTCAACACGGGCTGCGCTGACAAGCTCATGCTGCAGTCGTCCGGTATTAACCATTTCACCGAGCTGGGACACGGGTCTAGTTACTCACCAGGTGGGTTTGTCCTTTTAGGGCCACTCTGTGCTTCATCTGGAGGTCCGAAGATATTTGAAGCCATCTTGTGCGGTTTGGTAGCTTGGGAGGTGTTCTCACTGACCCCGAACAGGTCACTAGAGCCTCCCCCTGGAGGTCTCAGTACCCTGGAATTACCATACAGGTAAAAAACATTTATTTGTGAAAGCGCATTCATGGTGAACAGCAAATGGCCAGCAGCCATATCACCCTGCAACTCACAACCGGCAACCCACTGGAGCTCAGCAGGTGTGAGCCTGGTAAGTACCTGGATGGGAGACTCCTGGGAAAAACTAAGGTTGCTGCTGGAAGAGGTGTTAGTGAGGCCAGCAGGGGGCGCTCACCCTGCAGTCTGTGTGGATCCTAATGCCCCAGTATAGTAACAGGGACACTATACTGTAAACAGGTGCTGTCCTTCGGATGAGATGTAAAACCGAGGTCCTGACTCTCTGTGGTCATTAAAAATCCCAGGACATTTCTCCCCTCCTAATTAATCCCCATCTACGAATTGGCTTCATTATTCTGCTCTCCTCCCCACTGATAGCTGGTGTGTGGTGAGTGTTCTGGCGCACTATGGCTGCCGTCATCCAGGTGGGGCTGCACATTGGAGTCCCCATTACCTGTAAAGTGCTTTGAGTGGAGTGTCCAGAAAAGCACTATATATGCGTAAGCAATTATTATTATTGATGCCCAACAAATTGTACAGTATACTTAAATCAGAGTCGAGACACTACTGTACATAACAGGCTTAATACAGCAAGTTACACAGCAAAATACTGTGCTAGACAGGCTTAAGTCAACAACAATAGATCAGGTCTATAAAAGAAAACTAACAGGCATGGAGCCACAAATTCAGTAAAGGTGCTTGCGGTCAAACAGTAGCTTCCCAGTCAAATTTGGATCTAGATCCTGCCTAAACAGGTTCAGGAATGAGAATGAAGCCAATTAATCCACTTCATATGAAGGCATATATAAGCCATTTGAAAATGCGATTGTGCTAAAAGAAATAGTTTTGCACCCTGTATGTGAAGAACAGTGCCCCGTTTCTCTTACTTGCCCTTGTGACTTGACTATCGCCTCAAGCAGCAGATTCCGCTTCGTACTGGAATTAACGTTAAAAGACAGGGGGGAAAAATAACCCAATACCCCTGTGAAGCTCGCTAGGGCCGTCTTCATGTGCACAGCTACCAGAGGCTGTGGCCCAGTTTCTCAGTGCGCACACGGAGCGTTCAGCTCCGGCCGCGCCTCTCCACGGGCGGTTCTGGGTTATACGACACGCACAGATTTGCCACTTGTGATTTTTTTTTTTTAAATCCGGTGACGCCGGCCATCGATTCCTATTAACCCTCCCCCCCCCCGAGTGACCACCGACGCCTGGGCAGAAAGACAGTGCGCCTGCAGAGCCCACGATCAGCAAGCCTTTGTGCTGTTTCACGACCCGGCCCGGGCTAGACTCCATCCGCGCCCAGGTCTGTCCTCCGGGATGAAAGACCGACCATCCCGGGTGAAGTCGCCCCTCCCGTCCCCGTGTCTGAGTCTTTAAGCTCCCCTTCATCGCCAAACCGCTTACAACAAGGACGGGAGCGATCTGGCGGATTTTCCGCACTGCCCTGCGCGTCGTCTGCGGGACACACAACCCAACCCAACCTCCCCCCCCTCCGACAGGAGTGACAAAACATTGATTCTCCCCTCCATTGTGAACGCGAAACCCTTTCCAGCACCAAAAAAAGACGCGAGAAACAGCCGATGCGGCGCCTCAAGAAGACCCCGAGTTGTCCACGTAGATCATCCCCCCCCCCAGAAACTGGGAGCGAACAGGACTGAATTTCCCGGGCTGGTTCTGGATTATTCTGGCGATCATTTCCCGCTGTTAAAGGACGATACACCACGTGTGGAGCCCTAAAGACCTACTTTATTACAGGAACTGCGCAATTACAACCAGGACTGTCCGGTTTTGCTCTTTCTTGAGGGGGGAGGAGGCGATGAGATAATACCGCCGCTCGGTGTAGAAAACCCCTAAAAAAAGGGCAAAATAAGAAACAAAAAAAACCCTGCGATTTGCTCTCCTCGCTTGACGTGATCAACGGTAACCTGAGGGGAAAACGCTCCTGCAGCCGGCCGTAACCCTGCGGGCTAACCCGAGGAGACAACCGTAGCCCCGGCCGGGCCTGCCGGCTGGAGCAGGACCTCCGGCCGCCGAGCTCGCCACCCGCACTGACGTGGTGCGCTCAGCCGCCCCAGTTCCTCTTTTTTTTTTTTTGTTTAATCAAAACCCTTTCAAAACTAGGAGGGCAGCTCCTCTCGCGGGTGTGGTCCCTCCTCGGTTTCTCTCACCTGGAGCTCGGCTTGCCGCTGCTCTCCAGCCCCTGAAACATATTCGTGGATGTCATCTCCGCCCGCTGGTGCTGCTGCTGTCTCCGCCGGCCGTCCGCGAAGGTGCCGCCAAGCCCAGGTCTGGTGGGAAGCGGCGCAGCTCGGGAACCACAAGATCCTTCCCCGCTCCCGCGGGCCCGCCTACGGGGAGGGGCCTCCTTTTAAAAAAAAGCGCTTAATTCGGCTGGGAGAAACTGCGATTGGGTGTCCGAGGTGCCAATTATGACATCGACAAATCCTATTGGAGGGTTGCTGACTTGACATGTCCGTTACGCTGGGCCTCGCGCTGTGCGTGCCGTGGCCGAGGACAACGTCACTCTTTTTTCAGCGTCGGGGTTGAACGGACTCGAAGTCTCATTGATCGCGATTACGTTGCGGGGGGGGGGGGAGCTATAAATATAGCACATCGGAGTCTATAGAGCACAGTATAAAAGTCGACAAAATGTTGGCATAGCAGATATTCCACAAGACACTTCCCCCTCAGCTCGCTAATAGCAAAAAGAAACAATACCTGAAATACTTTCAGTATGAATTTAGCTGATGACTGTATGCTAATCTACGACGTATGGATTAAATGTCTCACTCTTAACGTTATTTGTAGTTCCTTTCAAGAAACCTGTCGTTTTATTTTATTCCTCCCGAAGCTACCGATTTCCAGCAGACTTGTTTTTTCTCACAAAACTCCTGAGGTTTGGTCATGCGCAGTGCCAACCTGTTGTGAGCGTCGTTGCTAAGCTCGCTGGCACAACAACCAGAGCTATTGTCAACGTCCCAGGAAAAAAAACATGGCGAACTTTTAAATACCACAATTCTTTAATTACCCAACCATTGAGAACTTGCCAAACTACCTTCTACGAGCACACAAACGTGGAGTTGTTTAAAAAACAAACATCGAAATACGGCACATTTGTATGGTAAACAGGGCGGGGCCCCAGGTCGGCAGCGTCAACAATATAAATGAAGTCACGTGTGGGCGGGGCTGACGTGCGACGTTTTTCTGATTGGCTGGGAGACACGTTCTGCGCGCCAACCCTGTAGAGTGAGTGGCCTTTCCTGCTGCCAATCATGGCGTGCGTCCGGCTGCGTGCACCGCTCGGCCAATCACGCGGTTTGTTTTTGAGCCCTTAGTGGGCGTGCTGGCGGCAAGCGGGTCCGTGGCCGACAGTCGCGGAAATTGGTGCAGCTCAGTGGATGACAGGATGCGCGTTTGAAAGTTTTCGTGAGGGAATACGGGCTGGAACGCGATGGGGAAGAAAATAACGACAAACCTCTTCCCCTCGCTTTAGTTAGCACGTATCTTGCAGGGTTTTCGCGGGGTACGAAGCGGGTGCTTCTTGGGTCTAAACAGTGACACTCGTGGGGGGAAAACGTGGCTTGCGTGATACCAGAAATAGCGCGAGTGTTTTGGAAGACAACGTGTAATTGCCCTCCTGGAACAATACGATGAGATCTGAGAAGATTGATAGCTTCTCGGAAGCCTATGGTTAGCTGATGGACAACAAGCTTTTAAGGGCGTCCCGGGAGTGAAACGCCCGGAGCCGAGCCGACCAGCGCCCGGCGCCATCGTCAAGCGTGAGTGTCCCTGTGATGCGATTTTGCAGTCCCCGCAGTGGACGAAGACCTCGGGCTCTCGCTGTCCCCGGTGTTCAGATCGTAAGCGGAATGTGAGGGGAGCCCGCAGCCCCCCTCATCCCCCTGGAAGAAAAATAAAACCTGGAAAGCGTCAGACCGACACTGGACATCTGCAGCAGCCGAGCGATGGAGGCAGAGCTGCGGAGGTCAGTCCGGCGCCGACTGTGTCTGATGCATCTAGAGAGGGAGTGATCGGGTTCGAGCAAGAAAGCAATGTCAGTAAGAGAGACCAGTAAGGCAGACATGGGTGTGTTTTCATTTTTTGGGGGGTGGCTCTTGAAAGCGGAAAGTAGGATTCGCAGTCTTGTGACAGGTCAGTCGTTTTGCAGGGGAATTCGGGAGGTGAACTCGCCAGATGAGGGGTCACCCGTGAGGCTCTCTGGCAAAGTCTGTATTGGATGTCACGGGAATGCATTTGATCCTGGTGTTGGATTCTGCGTCTGAAATGCAACAGCAGGCATTCGCTTGCAATTCGCCGTGAAGGAAAATTAAAACCTGGTATCATAGAAGCGAAGGTGATTTCTCAGGTGACAAAATCACTGTTTATCTGGCGGGGGCCGGAGCCGGCGCTGTGAGGAAGCGTTTTGGAAATTTCGGAGGTGGTTGGTTACAACAAAAACCTATTTTAATAGCCCATTCATGCGTTCGAGAAACGTTACATCTCGGGGTTTCAATACGTAAAGTTCGGACCCAACGGAGAAACAACTTTGTTTTGGGGGACATGTCAGCGAGCGATGACGTAGCACCAAGCAAAGTTCATGGCAGCTCGGGGTTGCCGTGGGTCGCTTTCGTTTCTGTGCAAAAAAAAAAAGAGGCGGGGGGGGGAGAAAGTAGGCGAAATTGACGAGCCGCATCCCCTTCTGCCCGGGACATGTTGGCGGGGGTCAGTCCGAGATTTCCCCGCGGGTCCGAGGGGTTTTGCGAGCCCGGGGTCTCCGGCGAGAGGGAAGTGAGCTCGTTAAGGGAATGAGCTGCGGGCTGGAGGAGCGCCGGCGAGCTCCAGCCCCAGAGAGAGCAGGCGAGAGAGAGGCAGACAGTCGCAGGCGAAGCCCTCCTCTGGCGCTGGAATATGCACAAAATAAACAGCTACTTTCCTCCAAAAACCTCGGCCCCATGGTGAGGAGAAAGAAGACGGCGCCCGCTTCCGAAGAACACCAAAATGGGTATCTCGCCTTTCGAAATAAACACTTTGCTTTGAGGTCGATGCCTGCGAAATTGTTCTCGCTTGCCGAGAGAGATTAATGTCGCTCCGGTTTTCGCAGGGCGCTAAACTGAAGGCGTCTGCGTTTCCATTGATAACTGGCGAAATAAAAGTGGACGGGGCTCGGAAGTGAGCGAAAACTAAAATAAAGACGCCGAGGACCACCTTTGGGGGGGGGTTTCGGGCCGTCGGGTGGGAGCACCAAATGTTCGGGGAAAGATTTGTCAGGTTGTTTTGTCAGGACGGTGAAAGGGGATTTGAAACAACGGCGGCCATGTTGAGAGAGAAAAAAAGATTATCGCCCCTTTTTTAAGTTGATTAAAACGGGGTGCTTTTCGAACATTGTGAACCGTTGGCTCTGGTGTTGTTTTGACAGCGTGACAGCGAAGCCGGCGGAGGGCAGCGGGGACGATGGGGTGAGGAGATGGGGCAGAAAGCTTGACCGTTGCGAGGCAGAGGAGAGCGAAGTGAGCAGCGCGGAGAGAGACGGAGGAGAGCTTCTCACACCAGCAGCTGCCGGCCCGTCCACTTCGGCACCGGTACCGTCCTCATCCCCGTCTGCCCTGCCGGCCCCGGGTTCGACCCCGCTGCACCAGCCCACGTCCTCCCCGAACCTGCCCAGCCAAGACCAGCATCATTTCCTCAGGTCCAGCGTCCGACCTCCCAGCAAGCGGCTGAGGAAGGATGCCGTTGCCTCGGCTGTTAATGGTCACAGCGGTGCCAAGGGGAAAGGTGAGACGGCCGGGTCGAGCGGGGTACCCCACGACACCTGGGGGGGACACTCACCTCATTGACCCCACCCCCCCCAGCGCTCCCCCTTTTTTGTGTTTTTCTTTTTGAGTCTGGGCTGCGGCTTTCTGAGAGAAGCAGCTGACCCGGTGGTGCGCTGGCTTTTTTTTTTTGTTTCCTTCCCCGAGTTTAAATGGGGTTGTGGAGACCCCCCTCCCCCAAAAAAAAATCAAAAAGAGATCCCACCCAAATCATTTTTATCGCCTCCTGAAGTGACCGCACTCGCTGTGATACATGCATGTGCAACACTGTAGCAGTGCTGTCGTGGCACGCAATACCTGGCGCAGTGTAGACGCGAGAGGCCAGGTTAAAGCGAGAATTTAACACCCCTTGTTAAACTGGGCTCGGAGCTTTGTTATCCATTTATCCTGTGATATATATATATTCAAGCTCTGCACTTATTTTACATTACCGCCGTTTCTTTTTGGTCTCGTAGTTGCCTTTAATTCAATAAATAAATTGAAAGCTTTCCCTGGCATTCAGGTAAACTTAGTCTAGAGGTGCTAAATTATTGGAACTTATCTGTTTATCCCATTTAGGCTTCAGATTTCTATTTGAATGAAATGCACGTATTTATGATTCCGCTCTCTGAATGACCTGCCTGAAGTGTCCCATTTAATATGTTTGCTTACGGTGACGGGCAGGGGAGAGATCAACACACTGGAGCTAAACGCTTTACCAGTGTTTTTTTAATGCGTGTATTAAATAGCAGAAAAGAGTATAGAATGATGATGCACACAGGTGATGATAGTGGCTGCTGGCGACACAATAGAGGGTACCTGATCAGTGTTGGCTCAGCTTTAGCTGAGGAGCAGAGCTGTCCTTGTCATTTAGCTAAGGTCCTACTGGATCAAAGGTCCTACTGGACTCTGATGAAGCCGTGTGGTCTGGTAGCTTTGTAGCATGCACCTGAATAGGTTAGGACCCTCCTGTGTCCCTGCCATTTCATTTCACATATTTGTTTTGGACCTGGCTGTAGTTTTCCAGACAGGAACAATTCCATGAATTAACTGATTTCTTCCAAATGCCAGTCTGTAGCAGGGAAATCCGAAAATCCCACATAATCTTTCGGAAGCATGGTTGCACTCCATTGTGAAACTCTGTTTTTTTTTATTGCTGTTGTCGTACTGCCAAACACAGCCATTCTGTATTTTTATAATAAAAATTAGACCAGCATACCCACCTGACACAACATTTTAAAATATCAGTGTATTAGTTTTTAAATTCAGTACATGAATAGATTTAAATTTTTCACAACTGTGCAATGCCCAGCAGACTTTGAGAAAATATGAAATGATTAGTAAAACTATATCAAAAGTAGTGCATTATCTTTGTATATGAATACATTCAACTTAGCTTATCCACAAATCATACAGCAGCTAGCTGTTTGTGGAAATAATAGGATTTTTGTTCATTTCAGAATTTAAGAAAGCCTCTCCGTAATTAGCATGGTTTGTAAGCTTTGTGTCCCATCTAGGGTGTTCGGTTCCTAGTGTTTTACTGATCTGAGGACCCCATCCAGACGTTTTTTGAAAGAAACAATGATATTGACTTTGGGAAACATTGCTGGCTAGCTTGTTACAGACACCCACATCACTTTTCAGTGTGAAATGCCACCTGTTGACCATTGTTTTATACATTTTTGAACTGTATTATAGTATTTATGAAAATGTTTCAAGCATTTTGGGCAGCATTATTCTTAATTTATTACAAGCTATCACGAGCAGATGATAGGAAATGAGAAAGTGAAATTGAGCTGTTTTGCCAGGACTTTGCACAACTTAGCAGAACAACCAAATCTAATCCAAGTGCGTTTTGTAGTGTCACATGTTAAATTTAACCAGTCCTCCTCAAGTGACTATCTTGAAGGAATTTTTTTAAAAAAATTGTCCTGATGCTTCCTTTCTGAGTCTTTTTTTTCCCCCTCATGTGATAGATAATCGAAGTATGCATGGACCTGCAAATACGACTTAAAAGAAGTTTCCTATTGAACCAGTGTAACGTGGGCAAAGTGTGGAGCTGCTTTTCAGCATGCTAACAGTTCTTTCCTCACGCGTTTTCTTCCTGGTTCTCATTTGCTGTAGTTCTGTAACTAGAGCTGACTGATGCGTTGCGATACGGTAATGTGCCTTTCGAGTTGTTAAATATTATAAATAATTCTCATCTCGCATCCCGGAGGGCCATTCCTCAGATTGTCCAGCATGCTTAGAATGGAAACTACATTCCATCGAAGGATACCATTGCCCCAGCTTCAGCCCGCCCTGGAGAGCCTTGCGCGAAAGGCAGGCGTCTTAAGTTACGGAAACAACCTTGGCTTCTCCCATTGATCACAAAGGGGTGTTTGCGTGCGTTGCAGGGGCAGAGAACGGGGCCCTGGTACCGGTGGGGTGCGGCCCTTCAGGGTCTCCTGTCGGGTCGGGCGGTGCCACCTCGAAATCAGCCCCCCGGAGCCTGGGGCCCAACGACAAGGAAGAGGGGAGCCAGAAAAAGGCGCGCCGGCAGTGGGAGTCCTGGAGCGCCGAAGACAAGAACTCCTTCTTCGAGGGGCTCTACGAGGTACTGTCTTGCTTTGGAAAGATTAGAACTAGGTTCGCCGTTTTCTCCTTTTCGTATCTTTTCTCAAAGTAGGAGCCCTTATAAGTCGGACAGGCCACAAGCTGGTCACATATCGCTCCTCAGATCCATGGGTTTAAATGTGTTGTTTTTTGGGGGTCAAGAATACGATTGTTAAGCCTCGAGTTTTGAGTGGGTCAAAGATTGCGTGCCTCTGCCCCCCTCCCACAGCACGGCAAGGATTTCGAAGCCATTCAGAACAACATTGCACTGAAGTACAAGAAGAAAGGGAAGCCGGCCAGCATGGTGAAGAACAAAGAGCAGGTCCGCCACTTCTACTACCGCACCTGGCACAAGATCTCCAAGTACATCGATTTCAATAACGGTAAGGGCTCCCTCTGTTTTTCCCCTTGCGCGTGGAGCTGTGTCCTGGGCTTCTGCCGGGGAAGACCTACTTGCCGCCGAGACTCCCCGGCCCGTCCGTTCTGTGCTCCGGGCTCACGGTGGTCCTTTCCCGCCCTGGTTTCAGTTTACTCCCGGGGGCTGATGAAGTCGTCCCAGGAGCTTTACGGCTTGATCTGCTACGCAGAGCTGAGGAAGAAGGTTGGAGGCTGTGAGTATGATTGCCCCCGTGTCTCCATTTGAAATCTGTTCCTGGGCGGTTAACCGTGATGACGATACCACGTCTGCACACGCACAGACTGGGCGGCTCCTTCTGGCGTGAAGGATTTAAGGTCCAGAAGCGAATGCGATATTCAGCAAGTGTTGTGGAGGTGATTGTGGGGAAGTCTAAGGCGTCTTGAGAACGCGAGGCTCTGTGGTGTCACTGCACGTGTTGTGAAGGTGATGTGAAGCCACTGTTCAACACAGAAGCGCGATGATTGCAGGGATGACATGCAGCTTTCTTGTTTGCTCTTTTCAGGTATGGATGATAAGAATGCTGCCAAACTGAATGAGCTCATTCAGCATGGGTAAGTTCCAGGCAAGAATCAAGTAGCGATCTGTATTCGAGGTCATTGAGAGTGAACTACATGTATATGTGCACTGAAGCTATAATTGATGCTTGATTTCGGGTGAGCCACTTAAGATTTAGGTATTGAGATCAACACTTACGTTCTTTTCTTCTTGACAGGGCAACCACAGTACGCTACAAAGGCAGGAATTTACGGATTAAAGCGCCCATGTGCCGTGCGTTAAAAAAGCTGTGCGATCCCGATGGTACGTACCGAGGCGGGAGAAAACTGGGAGATGGCCTATTTTATTTCTCACGGACCTGCACAGAGATTTGTTTCCCCTGTCTTTCTGATCACTGTAGTGTGAGTCACAGTGTGAAGGTGCCTGCGTGCCTCATCACTATGCAGGCCTGCCTTGTTGGTTTTCAGTGGCAGACAATTATTTGACCCCTGTAATGGCAAAAGTTGAAAATGATGCATGCATTTTGGGTCAGAGAAAGGGGTCTTTGGGTACAGATCCTGTGTTCCATTATACAGGGGTCTCTCCTTTCGTTGTATGTTTTCTGAAATTATGTAAAACAATGTTTGTTGGTGGTTATTTAAAATGCTCATTCATTCCTTAGATAGCACAGCTGCTGGAGACGTGGCTCTGCAGCTCATATTGATATGCAGTGTGTAAAATGCACGTTTGGTATCAGAATCAATGTTTAAGCAGGCATCTTATCTTTGCATCTTTAACCCAGAGTAGTCCTCAAAGCCCAGTGAGGTGGGCCCTGGAGGGGATGGGCTTTCTTAACTGGATAATTTTAGATCACGTTAGTGCTGCCGCAGGGGAAATTTGAGTCCGAGAGTTGCTCCTGTGTTTTTTTTTTCAGTTTATTTCATGTCCACATCTCATGTTCTGTTTGGAGCCATATAAGTGTCCAGCTACAGTCCAGGTGGATCCATTCACATCTTATTAATATGTTAGTTTGTGTGTGAAGGGTTTCTAACTGAAATATACAGAATTTGCATTGATTTCACTATTACAGTGAAGAGTATTTATTCAGAATCTCCATTATAGTATTACAATCCTGCACTGTTCTTGGATTTGACAGCTACCCAAAGAATGTAATTAAACCATCAGAGTTCGACTTGCATGTTTTTCAAGGGAATACAAGCCGGTGTTTGCTCAGCTTCGCTTCCTTTGAAAAGTCTGGGTTATAATGCTTTTCAAGCTGCTGTTTCCATCTTCTGCTGCTGCCGACGGCTTGGCCTGCCCCCGAGTCTTGACAGAAAATACCCGCCAGAGGCCTAACGAGGTGACTCATGCACTGACTCTTCCGACACTAGAGAATGAGAAGCTGGTGGGCTTCTGCCACTGGAGACAATCCCAGCTGTGCTTCTGTAAGAGTGCTGTAAAGAGATCCCAGCGCTGGCCACCTCTCATAAGACCATAAGAAAGATGGCAAATGAGGAAGCCATTGGCCCATCTAGCTCGTGTGCTGTCTAGTAGCTCTCTAACACGAGGGTCTCCTACAGCCATTTCTTGAAAGAGCCAGTGCCATGGGCTTCACTGGCGTGGCTGAGTATATTGTTCCAGACCCACGCAACCTTCTAGTAAGACTTTCCTCCTGTTTTCAGTTTGAGCCTCTCTTCCCATAGTTTCTGTTCGCGGCATCCAGCGAAGGCACCCGGCCCTTTTCTGCAAGGTGATTCTGTCAGCCCTTCCTTTCCCATGTCACAGTGGGGCATGACCCAGGCCTGAACCTGCGCTCGTAGCTGGACTCATAGTGCTCAACCTGCTTCTGAGCCAGGGCTGCAATTATGAAAGCTCACCACGTTGTAGCATGGTGAAGGCCAAGTAACACTCAGTAGAATTAATGGCAAAAGGTTTGGCAAAGCATACTAAACATGGCCAGATGGTCATCTGAAACTTTGAGGGATGTATGGCAAAATAATTGGATGCCACAAGCATGATGGAACTATAGGTTACCTGCAAAATGTTGTGTATGTTGTGGGGTGTTAATTATAGTTTTTTTTCTTCTGTTGTATCCTGTGTTGTATCGCAGTGCTTTAACTCAGCACTTACAGGGGAAAAAAATGCTTCTCTGAATAGGTTGCCATGGAGACGCCGTGATGCATCCGAGTATGTTCTCAATCTGAGATCATCTGAATGAAGGAAGGGAGCCGCTCCACATAACGTTGCCTTCGCTCTCTCTCTCTCTCTCCCTCCCTGCGTTCAGGGGTCAGCGACGAGGAGGACCAGAAGCCTGTCCGGCTGCCCCTGAAGGTGCCTGTTGAGCTACAGCCTCGCAGCAATCACTCCTGGGCCCGGGTTCAGAGCCTGGCACACAACCCACGGCTGAGGTGAGGCCCGACTTGAGTTAGGGGCTAGCCGCGGTCGACGTCTCGAAATAGGGGCCTGATTAGACAGAACCTTCAGACACCAGAAGATATTTCCCCAGCATCTTGGGTGAGAAAAGGTGGGTCAAACGGTGTCTTGAGTCTGGCTTTACTCATTCAGGCTTGTAGTGCTATTTATCTAAGGGCACGGGGCGAATGTGGAAATAAGTTCAAGACGCATTGAGAAAGGGGGGGATTCACCAGACAGGTGGGGAACCTGGCATCAGAGGGTATGAGTAAGCTGAGGGGAGCAGCTGGAGATGACCCCTTGCCGTTCCGGCTACGTGACGCCAAGCCTGCTGTTATCGCGGTCAGCCGATGGGCGTCATTGAGTCGGCAACCGAACAGAAGAGGGGTTTAACATTTTCTTGTGTGTTTGTTTCACTGGTCGCTGGACGTGACCGGTTCTAGAAAGGCAAGCGAGGTTTGCGGACGTTAGCCTTGAAGAGTGCGTGCAGGCAGTGGCTTCTGTAGAAACGAAGGATGCTGTGTTCAGTGTCTTAATAATGAAAAGTTTAAACGTGCGAGATTCATTTTGTTTGTGCGGTATGACCCTGGCAAGACATGTTCGTCGGGAATTGCGTTGAAATACTGAAAATACTGAGTTGAACGTAGTTTAAATAGTTGTCTGTGGACCAGTGCCAGGCTGTTGGAAGAATTGCAGGTTCTTCATGGCATGGTGGAAGAGGGATGATGGCACCACATGGCTGGTGTGCCTAGGCCTTTGCTGCAGTTCTCAAGCCCTGCCTTGTTTTCTCCCACAGGATGGTGGTGGAGCTCCACAGGAAGGTGTCCAGCCTGATCGAGTTTCTGAAACAGAAGTGGGCAGTGCAGGACCATCGGATTGTATCCTTCAACGCGGTGTCTGCTTTAACTTGATTGTCTGAAGGTACAGATGGGGGCACATTCTCACAGTGGATAAGAACACTATAAGAAATGTCCTGTTCACTAGTTCGTAGGCCATTTGCACATTCTTTTATTTAAATCCAACCAGTCGCAGGGATTATTCCAAAAAGTAGATATATTTCAAAGGTTCAGATTGAATCAGCCAGTCTAGGGTTCTCATATCAGTACAGGACGTGCACTGTTATAGCAGAGATCAGATGCCAAGGGTTTGCCTAACTGGCATTTGGCCTATGGAGGTTCAGGGTGTAAAAATGTGCATCCTCTGGTTTTTGTGGGGTGACGGTTTCTGTGTTATCGGAGCCAAATCAGTCCGTCTGAAATTACCAACGTTGCAGAAAGTGAACATCCACGCAGATCTAACACTATAGAACCCTCTGTTTACTGTTAGGCTTTCAGTTGTACATGATAATTATGCCCAAATGTTCTTAGTAGGCTTTGTTTCTTACTGGTAAATGACATTAATTGTCCTCCGTTATTTGGCTGGTAGCTGTTCTAAAAACTCGGTGTTCTCTGACAGCACCATTACTTTGGCATAGGCTTTAAGATGGAAGTAGTCAAGCACCAGATCTGCTCATCCTTCTCTTTGGCCCTGCTATCCACTGAATTATGTATTGAAATCCAGCAGGATCTGGTTTTGCCATCATTATTGTTTTCATTCAAAAATGCTGAAAACCTGCAGTGTCCTTTAAAGCTACTCAGAAGCAATCCGCTGTTTGTCTCACGCTCGGTTAACTTCAGAGGCCCGTTTAACCCTTAAGTGCTCGTGCCGTTTAGCGTAGCGAGCCGCGCCTGGCGCCTTTCACTCCTGCAGCGGTTACCAGGCCTTGACCCGGCTGTCTCAGAGGAAGAGCCTGGAGGAGAGGCAGGCGCTGGATGGGGCCCCGCGGTCTCCCTCAAGCGAGGAGCGAGAGGAGCTGTTCCTGTACCCCTCGGAGAGCAGTACTCTGACCGCCCTGCCTGGGGTGGCCCGGGTCGTCCACTCAAAGGCCTTCTGCACTGTGCACTGGCTGGAGAGCGGCAAGTGCCGGCCCGGCAACAAGGAACTCCCCGCTGCCCAGATCCTGGGCATCCAGGGGGCCCCCAGGGGGCCGGGGCGCCAGGGGCGGACCGCGGGAGAGCCCCGCCGGGGGGAGAGCTCGGCCGCCGAGGGCGCGGATGAGGTCCCACAAGCCGGGGCGGAAGAGAGGAGCCAGGAGCCCCCGAATCCGCCGTCGGGACAGGAAGGGGAGGGGCCCGGAGAGGGCGAGCAGTCGGCCCGGGGGGAGGGGTCCGGCCCCGGGGAGGGGACAGGCAAAGAGGATGCACTTTCACAAGAGCAGCTCGGGGATCACGGCGAGGTGGAGATGGACTCTGATGAGCCCCCTGTGTCGGAGCCTTTAGCCCCGCACGAGGGGCACAGCCGGGGCGCGGCGTTGCCGGGGAATGGCCTCTGCGCCGGCGAGCGCCCGTCCGCGAGCACTGATCCCCCAGATCCCTCTGGGTACGGTATGTCGGCGGCGGCCACGGATCGCGGAGAGGAGAGGAACGTTGCGGCGGGGTCCCAGGAGCAAGGGGCTCCCGAGGGCCCCGCCACCGCCGAGCCCCCGACCGAGGAGGTTTGCACTAAGGAGGACGAGCCCGCGGAGGAGGGCTGCCCCGAGCCCGGGGGGGGCGGCGCGAAGGAGGAGGCGGGGAGGCCGCCCCAGCAGATCCGGGAGGAGGGCTGGAGCGCCCGCGGCACCGAGAACGTCACGCTGGCTGAACTCTACCTCATGCTGGGCAAGCCGGGCAAGCTGCAGCTGGAGTACGAGTGGCTGCCGGTGTCCAGGGGGGACGGCGGGCCGCGGCCCAGCCCTCGGGCCCCCAGCACCCACCGCGTGCTCAGGTGTCTGCTCCGGCTGGTCTCCTCCGAGGTCAACCCCAAACCGGTGAGCAGCACCGGCGCCCTTCGAGTCCATGACGTGACTGTCTTTATTTCGGGTGCATATAGAATAAACGCGTGATTATGTGTTATTTTGGATAGTGCCGTCCTCCGAAGCAGCCTACGCTTTCATGTTTTCATACAACCGGGCGTTTTTTAAGGGAGCAGTCTGAGTGAATCTGATCTCAGATTCTCAAATCGCAGTCAGGTTTGCTATTGTAGCGCTATAAAAAAGTAGAACTGAAGAGGCCTGGCTTTCTTTCTGTTACCATACGAGTTTAACTTTCTTATTTCACGTTCTCTCTCGTGGTCAGGCCCCAGAGCTGTGCTCCACTGCCACTTCCCCCATCAAGCCCGCGGCGGAGGACCCATCCCTCACCCCCCCGGGGAAGATCGTGTCCCTCGGGGTGCGCAGTCCCAGCTGCAGCCGGAACCAGGCCGCCGCCGCGCGGGTGGGGAAGATGCTCTCGCCCACCGCGGGATCCTCAGGTGAAGCTCTCTCCACGCGGGCGGGCTGCGCCAGGGCCTCGGCGGCTGCGGCGCTCACACGTTCTCTCGTTCGGGAAGTCGGGGCCGGCGGGCGGGTTCTTGGGTGAAGGAGACGCAGAGCAGGGTGAAACCGCACGTGCAAATTAGCGACGCAACCGGCTGCGATCGCGAGATGAATCTGGCTGGCGAGAGGGCCTCTCCCTGCCCTCGGACCCAGTACCCAGCAGCCCCATCTCAGCGCGGCATTGCTTTTATATTGTAAGATATTTTATATTTGGGAGGGATGATTATGGAGCAAGTAAGAGGTTTGTTCCACGCTGAAAAGAGAAGAAAGAAAACGCAACGTTTCGGCTGTGGAGCCTTCATCAGGTAAGGCTCCACAGCCGAAGCACCCGAACCCTAGCTCTAGAGAATCCCAGGCCGGTTTGTCGGATGTTTTTAAAGATCGCCCATAACTGTGAGCTGCTGATGAATCAAGCAAGTGATTACTTGTTCCTCTTCAGCCTATGCATGCTGCCACAGCTACCCACCTGAGCTAGAATGATTATGGCACCTTAGTCAAAAAATGACGTATATAGCAAAGTATTATTGCCTAATACATTTGCATTCTCAAGTTCCAGAAGAATTCAGTTTCAGTCTTCGTCTTTCAACAGCCGCGCATGGAATTGAAATGCTCTGTGTTCCAGAGACGTTAAAGGAGAATGGGTTGATGCTTGAGCAGCAGGTGCTGGTGGGCCGGGCGGAGGTGCTGGGGGCAGAGTGGGTGGCACTGTGGCTCAGGATCTGTGCCCGTGGCTGGAAGGTTGCTGGTTCAAATCCCTCAGCCGGCAGAGGAATCCTACTCCGTTGGGCCCCTGAGCAAGGCCCTTAACCCCCAGCTGCTCCAGGGGCACCGTATAAATGGCTGACCCTGTGCTTCTCTCCCTGTCTGTGTGTCTGTGTCTCATGGAGAGCAAGCTGGGGTATGCAAGAAGACGAATTCCTAATGCAAGAAATTATACAGGGCTAATAAAGTTTTTTTTTTTAAAACGAACGCTCCAGGTTCTGTGGGCAGCCGGGGAATGATAGGTTGGAGACGGGCTCGCTGACGGTTTTATTTCAATACAGTGGGGCGAGGTGATCTTGGAGGCAGAGGGAGAAAGTGCAGGCTGGATGCAGAGAAGGGATTCATGTTGATTATTTGAATTGGTTGCTGTTAGTTTTTGATCAGTGTTGTTTCTTTTACTTGGGTCAATGTAATTTAAATTAACTTAAAGCCAATGCGTTGGTACTTTAATCATCACATAAGGGAGGATTATTTATGTTTTTAACCGTACATACAATAAACTATAACACATCTTGCAACAGTATAGGGATGGACTTGGTTATGTGCGATTTTTTTTTTTGTTATTCAGAATCGTTCTCTGCACCCCACCATTGCGGATGTACCTTAAATTCCTATTAAAAAAAACTAGAAACTCATCATCCGATGAGCAGGTAGTTCACTGGACAGTCATTGCGTACGTAGCTCCTCAAGTTTTTGTCTTTTTGCGGTTGGATAGTTTTGAGCATGAATAAAACAAAGGGCGAGGCCTTCGTCCCTCAGTCCTGCATCTCGCACTCTGTGTAAACCGTGTAAAACTGACTGGCGTTTTCCTTCCCCTTGCCCCTTCCAGGAGCGCGCAATCTGCCCCGGACCCTGCTGATCCCGGGGCCGGCCGGCGCGAGGGGCGGGGAGGCGGAAGGCGGCCTGTTCGCCATCCCCACCACGCTGCCGCCCAACAGCAGGCACGGCAAGATGTTCTCCCCCAACAAGGAGGCCGAACTGGCCTTCCGGCAGCAGCTCGACTCCATCAGCGTGAGCACGCGCGCGCCCGTCCGCTGTGCCGTTGGCGCTATAGTTGCAGGGTTGTGAATAAAAATGGTAGAACTGTTTTGTGTTTTTAGCGTGCGCAAGTAAGGGGTTTATTGCCATTCACGGCAGTCAACTGTCGAGCAAACACCGAGCGAAAGATCAAAATATAAACATTTGCATGTCGTGAATGGAATCTTCCGGAACTTTGGAAGTTTTTTTTCTATCATTCGGGAGGTGCGGTTCGCGCACAATTCATGACGCGACCGAGCGGCAGACGCTCAATCGAAAATTGAGATCATGTGGCAAAACAAACTGGCCTTCGTGGGAGTCGTTAGACAACACAATTTTGCGATAAATCATCGGCGAACTCAGTAGGTTGTACTTGAAATCATCTCTTAAAACTACATGTGGTAGGTAATTCCTTTAGTTTAGCTGGAAAACTATTGCAAACTTTCACACACTCAGCAACAGCAATCCATGTCATTATGCCCCTTGGGCCTCGCCTTGGGTCTTTTCGGTCGATCAGTGAGTTCTCACATGGGACCGTTTGAAGCCCTGTGCCTCCTGCACTACAGCTTTTTTACGCCACTCAGGGTATTAAGTCATCCGCTCAGCAGGGAAATAAACAAAATCAGAGGGAACGTAGGTCCACACCATCCAGACGCTAGTCTCCGTGCCTCCCCGGTCATTTCTTCTTCTTGTGATTTTGCAGATGCAGTCGGACATCTTCCTTCCGAAACAGAGGAAGTTCAGGAACCGGCACCTTCGCAAGCCTCTTGTGGTGCAGGTAGGCTGAAGGGGACAGAGTGGGGGAGCTCGCCAGCTCACCTGGGACTGTTCCACAGCCCTGTAAAAGAAATCAACCCCTGTCCGCCGAGTGCCGCGAGATGTGCTCCATACTGAATCATCTGCATGAATTTCTTGAGTTTGTGTAATGTCACAGGAATAGTCCAGAGCTGCACACAGTATGAGATTCTGGTGTTTCAGATAAGCGTCGGAACCTCATTTAGAAACTCTATTTAAACTGAGTCTCTGAAATGTGTGAATATGTAGACAGAGGAATTAACATCGCTTGATGTTGTCCTCCCACACACAGACAGGGTGACAGAAGGGAAGGTCCTTATTTCTCTTAAAATGCCTTGAATTATATATCCAGTGTGTTAATGTACTCCACACTGCTGTCCAAAATTTATCAGTGATGAAAATGTAAATATAATCCTTCCAATTCTCATTTGTAGTGAAGACCTGCCCAAGATACACCTGTTTCACAGAAGACAATGAAAGAATCAATAAAAAAGTGACTTAAAAATAATAATAATTATTAAGGTTTAATTACTGTGCTTAAGCTTTCCAAGATTTCCAAGACCAGACAGAGATTAGGTTCTTACCCTAGACGTCAGTTGAGGGTAGATGGTAATTAATAGCTGTCAGTTTTAGTCCTGTATAAAGTCTTAATTGCCTAGAGATCAATCAGCCTAATGGCTGACAGCTCAGCTGAAAAGGAATACAGAAGATCAGAGAGACTCCAGAACCAGGTTCGAGAACCAATCTTCTTAAAATATTGATACGTGTAAGAGGAAGAATATCTGTTTGGCACACTAATGCTCCAATAAGCAGGGAAAACGTTCTGCTGCAACATTCATTTGAGCCTCCTCTACACATCTTGGCAACAGGGTTCGACAAATTCTCTTAATTGGAGTGGAAGTCTTATATGGCAAGAACATTGGGTTTCACAGAGCATGTAGGAGGTTGCTCATCAAATACTAAATTATATAAGAAACATGGTCTTTCAAATCCTGTTTTCTGCAGGCTTTCTTATTTTAAATAGTCTATCAACAGTGCAAGACAGGAAAGGTATTTTAGAGCCAGTGTTAACTGTACAGATTAAGCCTTTATTTCAACTGTAGTTGAGCTGAATGCACTCTGAAACTCTGAAATACCGGCTTTATTGAGCTTTGTTGGGTTTTTTTTAAATAAAATGCGGATGTCTTCCTTTAGCTTTTATGTTCTAGGATTGGAAAGTTTAGATTTCTTCTTTATGTGTATCTGTGGATCAACAAAGTCCTCCTGTTCCTACAGCGAACGCTGCTCCCCAGAACAGCAGGAGACACCTCGCAACACGTCTGCTCCTTCTCCATCCTCTCCAACTCCTCTGCCACAGGTACTTCTCCCTTGCCGTTCTCTGTAGACCTAACTTACAGATAAACGTGGGAGGCAGAGATCCGATGAGCAGCAGTACTCGGGGCAGGAGAAGGTAACGAGTGGGCAGGGAGCTCTCCCTTTTCTGCAGCTCCGCCTACGCTCGCATTTCAGGATTTTCCCCTTCAACAAGTCTGGGTTTGAAGCTGGCTGGCACTCACGAAAGGAAGCGCCCTTCACTGAATCCTGACCGTGTCTTAGGAGTCTTTGATTGATTTTCATGGTGATGCAGTGCTCTCTCACTTCACTGCTCTGTGGGGGGGTCAGTCTCTCTGAGGCCAGAGCAAAAGGGATTTTAACACTGGCAGGAAGGTGTAATTCACTCACTGTGTCACAGAAATCTCCTGTGTTTCTCCGTCACCAGATCCCTGTTTTGATGGAGCTGTTGGTAACCGACAGTTACCCCTCTCAGTCTCATAGAGCTCTTGGGACTGCGTGGCCAACCATGTAGTTTCTCCAGTGTCAGAACTGGAGCACTTTGTTTAAAGCTTGTTGGGGAGCAATGTGAAAGACAGGGTGGTCAGAGGCTAAGGAACCCACAGCCGATGGAGAGGAATGCATTTGTCCGTTCTCGATACGTGCCAGATAGCCGTTCTGTTCAGCGCTGATGTAACGCATCTTTTCCAGGCACAGGCTCATTCCGGCCCATTCAGTCACCTCTGTCCTCGGCACCGGGCTCCCGCCCCGCTATTTCAGAAGCCATTCCAGCCCCCAGCTCCAGCCAGCTGTCCAGTAAGGATCCTTTCTCTCTGTGCTTTGGCAACATTTTTTTCTGCTTTGCATTGTACAATAAACACGTCATAGCTACAGCAGTGAGTTGCAACCAGAGTTTTTAGTAGCAGAAGTTTTAGTGTTCCCTTTTCAGGAAGTCGCTGTATACATTTATGAACTTACGAATTCAGCAAGAACTGATTGGTTTGGAAAGGACTCATTCTGTGGTTTTCTGAAGTGGAATATAAGCAATTTGTGAACTGGAACAAACATTTTAAACCAGTCCTGTAGATAGTTAGTTGGAACTATTTAATTACCACATGTCTACGTGTCTATGTTATAAGTTGTCCTTTGTGCAGATTAACAGAAGTTGGCTGGTTAAATAATGAGAAACAATTATGACAATAAACAATTATGCACCAGCTGCAGAAAATGTATTCGGCTCCCCTGTTCTTGTGAAATAATTAGTAACATGTATCAGTTTAATGAGTATGTGTAAAAGGAGCCGTGGGTCTGATTGCTTACTGTGGTTTCTTTCAACTCCTTTCAGGTACAATTGATTTAGCTGCCAAGTCGGCAGGCATTATTCCAGACAGCCCTGCTCAGGTCCTTCAGGGCCCCAAAGTGGTTACAGCTGGCAGCTCCATGTCCTCTGACACCGTGTCCCTGGCAACTGAAAAGGGGATTCTCAGCCAAACCCCTTCCATCAGTCCAACAGAGGTGAGTGACTGGGCTGCAGGGCAGGTCTTGGTGTGAACAGTGCGTCACAAGGACGGCATGTTAAACTGCCATATTTAATATGTTGGATTTGTTTGAATTAATGCCTTTTGTGGATACGGCACAATCAGGAATAAGTGGTGTAGCAGAGGTTATTGTTCTCATTTAATGTGGGTTAAATGAATTAACAGTTCTAAAAACGTCACATTTGGGCTATATTTCTCAGCTTTCTACTTTCCTATAATTAGGCTGCAATTGCATTTTTTCCACTGCTGAATAACACTTTACTGTCTATTAGCAGTGTGTCTCTTTGATACCTTGCAGAATCTTTTTTTTTTTATCTTCATTTACAATTTCATAAAACATGGGGGGATTTAAGGGTGGGAAAGAGGTGTGTGGAGCATCTGAAGGACCAGAAATCAAATGGATGAGTTTATGTAAAAGTGACAGTGAATTTGTTAAGACCTGAGCAGGATAGCTTTCGGTGCATTTCTGTATGCATTATACTATCTGTAAAAAAACATCCATCCATCTTCTAACCTTCTTCTTCCAATTCGTGGTGGCGGAGAATGGGCCCAAGACAGAATACACCCTGGATGCCAGTCCAGTGCAGGGCGCACACAGACACAAACAGACGCTCGTACCAGTTTTTCCAGAAGCCTGTGAACCTCCCAGCATCTTTGGCCTATGGGAGAGAACCAGAGGACCAGGGAGACACGCAGGGGGGACATACAAACTCCACACAGATTGCCGCCAACTTGGGGAAAAAACAATTAGGCTGTGAATTAATTTAGTTCTTTCTATGTCCTAATTGAGAGATTGTGTCAGTTTAATAGACTGACCGATAAAGCACCCAAGCGTTCTCTTGCTGGTTCTGGAAATAGTATGGCATGTTACTGCCTCAGCTTTATTGAGCAATTCAAAGCCATGAAGTATCATGGTGCAGGTCACTGCTACTTTGATCGGTGCAATTTCTCTTGTCAGCAATGAAACACAAACAGAAAAGGTCCCGAGCTTTCAGTCACATTAAGAAACATCCATCTAAGAAAGTAATGAGGTATTTTGTTTAATTGACAGCTCAGGTTGGAACATAAACCACAAGATACATGGTCCTCCAGGAATTTTGTAGGAGACATGGTTTAGCTCAAATATCAACTTTCTTCCTAAGTGTTGAAGATTTTATGTACTCAGACCAGAAAAAAATGACCTTTTTAAGCCATTTTTATTCAGCAGGGGGCAGAACTCTGTTAGTGTTTCTAGGTTATCTGTGCACTACCACCCCACAGCCTCTTGCTTAAACATATAAGAACCAATTTGTTGTTCTTGTGAAATAAGAAGCACACCTGGTTTTTCATTCACTTGGCGATGCTTTCTTGCACAGCTTGTCTTTCTGGGTAGGCGTTCAGCCCAGCTCACTCTCCACAACTGCTGGATGTTTTCCAGCACGGAGCTCCAGAAGTGCCCTTTCAGTGCCTCCTGTCTGTTTTTTTTTTTCCTTCAGGCCTCTCTACAGAACGGGCCTTTGCCTTCTCCGTCAGCGGGTCCAGACTCCCTCCTGTCCCCTCCCAACATGTCCTCTCTGCTGGACATCTCCTTGCCAGGACCTCCAGAAGACGTCCTGTCCCAGGGGGAGCCAACCACTCACATCAGTGACTCCATCATTGAGCTGGCAATCAGCTCTGCGCAGTACGGTGAGGGCAGCCCCATGGCAGCAGGAGATTCTGAAGAGCTGCTGCGTTTCTTCTTGTTTTAAGATGGCGCACATATCTGCGCCGAAACTTTCAGTATCGTTTTCATACCGATCTTGTGATCTATAAAGCCGATGACAGAAAATGTGTCTCCAAACCCCCAGGCATACAAGAGACGTGTAGTTTATACGGAGTGTGAAAGGAAATGTTTCCACTGAGGGATCCAGAGAGGTTGAATGAATGCATTTGAATGACACGACAGATTGATAGATCTAGTCGGCTCTATGAAACAGGAGGAAACCATGCATGTGATGAGCAATTGTTTATTCCTGAAACTTTTTCGGAGCTTTTCGTCTTGGACCACCTTTGCCTTGTGTTCCTTCCCTGCAGGAGGAAGTTGGCACTGTTCTCCTGTTAATTCAGATGAATAGTTATCATTGGAATAAGGAGGGGTGGTTCAGTCACAAGCATGTAGCTGATTCTAATCCCCTCACCCCAGGGAGAGAGCAGGCAGGGTCCTGAGGTGTGACGCTTGTGTTCCTCTGCAGGCGACGGCTCTTCTCTGTCCCCAGCCAAGCTGAATGGCAGCGACAGCTCCAAGAGCCTTCCGTCTCCAGCCAGCAGCCCCCACCGCAACTGGATCGCCTCGCCCACCCACGACCCCCAGTGGTACCCCAGTGACTCCACAGACTCCTCTCTGGGCTGCCTCCTGTGTGAGTGTCTCCCATCACGTGCGCACGCTCATTGAAGATAGTTAGAACTTCAGAAGCTGATATCGAAGGATATTTCTGTCCCGTTGCTTGTCTAGGGAAACTGTAGTGTCTTTAGTGCAGCGCTTTTGCAGGCCGAATACTCAATTAAATTATTTTTCAGTTGTTTTCCTATGTCTGTGACTTCCTAAAGCTTTTTTTCCCTCTCTTTTGTAAACATGGAAGTCAGATGTGTCACGTTTAAGATTCTTAATACTTGTGAAGGCCTTCTTAAACTCTGTGTATATGACATTCTCCCCATGACCAAAGCCTTTGAACTCCTAACTGTAAGTCCGGTTTCGAGGGATGGAAGTATTGGAAGTTGCTTGAAATGACTTTATAGATACTAGATTGTTGGATTTAGACCCACTGTTTCTATCAGTAGTGATGATCTTTCTGGAGTCTAGCTTACAAGGCAAGCATATTTGGGAAAAGTAACATGAAAATAAACTAGAAGGTTAAGGTTATAAGCAAGGGGATTTAATCATATGCTATCAGGTGACCTACAGATAGATAGATACTTTATTGATCCCGTGAGGGAAATTGCAGTGCAACAGCAGCTTAACACACACAACACAGCCACAGTGTAACAAATTATATAATAATAGTACAATACATACAATACAATACAAGAGTTACTCACAGTCCTGACACACAAAGAACAGACTAGAACAGAACAGTACACAGAAAAATCGTATCACACATATGAATATAAATATAGATGTAAATATAGAGATACCTATTTCCACCATGAGATGTATTTTGGCCTGTCATGTTGGTGTTTGTCCGGTGGCAGCAAGCCTGATTTCCCCGGAGAAGGGCCGGAAGGTGCTGCTGACGCCCTCGGGCCCCTCCAGCGGGACGTCCCTGCTGGGCCCCAGCCTCCTGGACGGCAGCTCTCGGGACTCGTTCGCCTCGCGCGCGCTGGCCGACGTGGGAGAGGTGACTCCTCTTGTGTTGTTGTGTTTTTTTTTTTTTTAGAAATTGAAGAACAGCCACAGGAACCTGCATGACCAACCAGCTCTTTGTGGAGCAAAGCCAAGGAATTATCCGCATGTGCCAGTTATTATTTGTTTATCCCAATCAATTCCACAGCTCTTTTGAGAAAATATCAATTGTTGTGCAACCCCTTGGGAAAGTGAACCCATGAACTCTTCCCATTGGATTGTTCCTCCCTCCTTTGGGAAAAATGTGTTGATAATAATGCCTCTTTGAATTTTGCTGATTTAATTTTGAACTGTGATTTTAGATATTTAGAGTTGGGGAAAACAAAAATGCAAATAAAGAGATACCTATGACGCACTGGCCAGACGCTTGTTCCTTCTAGCTCCTGTTGATGGCTGTTTTCAAGCTGATTGTGAACTTCCCGGGATCGGGACTGTGGAAGTGATTAACGTGTTACAGACATGCCACTATTCTGTGGTGTCCATAATCATTTCATATTTTATGCCCACGTGTATAGAAGTAAATGGCTTTGAAGATAGCTCCACTACCACCTACCCCAGCTGGTTTAAATATTTTTGCTTACTGATATAGAAAATCTGTGACAATGAAAAGTCAGTCCTGAGGAATTTTTTTATTTCATGCAGGATTCTGACTGTGCACTCTCTGGTTGAATTGAAGGTGTAAATGAATTCTGGACAGCTTATCTGTTTTTGAGCACATCTCTAGTGTACAGGATTGTGATGCTAGAATTGTCAGCAGATGTTTTGTCTGAAGCACACGGGTACTTCTGGTCATGCAAATTTCACAGCTGTGTTTTTGTTTATATTTAAAATTGCAATTCAACATAAATGCTACAGCAGCAACATCCGCGGCTTGGGAAGTGAAACGTTATTGTATTAGGAGTTTGCCTTTTCCCATACCCCAACCTGCTCTCCATGAGACACAGACGTGGAGAGAAGCTTGGGGTCAGAGTGCAGGGTCAGCCATTTATACGGCGCCCCAGGAGCAGTTGGGGTTAAGGGCCTTACTCAGGGGCCCGACGGAGTAGGATCCCTCTGCCGGCTGCGGGATACGAACCGGCAACCTTCCAGCCACAGATCCTTAGTCACAGAGCCACCGCATCCAGAAATGCCTAGCAAGGTTACTGGGCAGGTGTTGTACGGACAGGTGTGCCCCTCCCAGTGACGCGGCCCTCTTGCTCTTGCAGGTGGACTCCCAGCTGGCGTGCATGATGAGCGAGAACAGCGTGGATTACATCGCCCGCTTCAACGACCTGGCGCAGGAGCTCTCCGGCGCCGAGCCGCCCCCTCGGCCCCCGACCCCCCCTCCCCAGGGCGGCACGGGCTGAGCGCGGAATGGGGGCGGGGCAGGAGCCCCCGGGGGGGGGGATGCCTACACGGGCAGGCGCTGTCCCCCGAACGCGAGCAGACGAGCCGGGGGACTCTGCAGAAAAAGTTTGATTATGTGCAATAGATAGCGCCAGACTCTAGGACTGCAGAGCACAGCCAGCTCCAAGCGCAGCTCTGATCAAGACTGGGACACAGGATACTGAGGCTCCCTCACTGCTGATGTCAGCCCGTTCCATGCCAGTCGGGACCCTTCTGGTTCAACAGGCAATTATTAATAACATCTTGAAGTGCTCCCAGCATTTATTCTTCACAACAGGCAGGATTGTGAAACTTCAAAGGCCTGACCTCCTCCTGAAGTTTTCTGATTGATTGCATTGAATCTTGTTGGGGGCAAAAAAAACAAAACAAAACTGTTTGCTTCTCCATCCTAAGTGATCTGATCTTGCTCGTACTCAGAAACCATCATCTCTTAGAGACTGGTGTTTATTTTATTCTTTTTTTTTATTATGCTCTACCTATAAAGGGGGCCTGAGTCTGAGAGAGATTCAGTTCTTTGTATCATCAAGATTTGGCGAAGGGTGTTGTAACAGAGCAAGATTCATTTAGCATTAGCGTCAGGAAAGTGTTGCTAGGGCTTGAGGTGGTCAATGTGTGTACCGGAAGCTATATTCATCAAGATATCACCTTAAGAAGTTGACCCTCTGCTGCCATTTTAGTAATCGGAAGAAAAATTCTTTTTTTTTTAAGCAACAAGAAGTATGACCTCCCATGTTGTCCCACAAAAACCATGGAGGTCAGATTGAATGTTTACCTTTCCGATAAACATTGTATGTTTTTCAGCCTTTGCATTTGCATTTTGAGTTGACCTCTGTTTCAATACTTACAGTTCTGATCTCCTACTGACTCATCTCCTCTTGCGTCTCAGATGTGGTCATTTGAGCTCAGTTGATTTGAGTACATTATGTTAGCACCTTTGTTTCAAGCGAGCAGAAATATGTAATAATGGAAAAGCCTTTAATCCTGCTTCTGGATGGAAAGGCCCTTCAGTGGCCAACTAACATGATGTTGCACACTAGTATTCAGTGAGAGTTGTTATTTTTACTGTATGTTAATTTCACCACAATTTGCATTTGTCTTGCCAGCTCATACCTCGATGAAGCTTTTCTAGAGCCCTTTTAGACTCGGATATGGGGACCTGTTGGCTTTCATTCCAGTCCAGCTCCCAAAAAAAAACCATAATTGAACTAGTAATTTGATCAGTGGGGAACCTTTTAATTCTGTCAAAAACTGAGGTTGGCATGTTGCTTTAGCATCGAAATAGTTGAAACAGTTCTGCTTGTTCAAGAGTGCGGGGGGAAGGGATCTCAAGTGGGACAAGTAGTGGAGGAGTCCACTCAAGCGTAGGTTGAGCTGTGGAGTCTGGTTACTAGCCGACTGTGACGGGGATTTCCCCAGTACAATTGGCTGAGTGCTTCCAAGGGCAGGGTGGTGTTAGTCAGCCGTGGCACACAGTGACCACTTTAGTCTTGCTGGCAAGCGGTGCTGTCAGTGGGGGACGTGCCTTTCTTCCAATTGGCGCTGAACCTCTAGTTCGTGCTGTGTTGCCAGTGACGTATTGAAAGCTCTAAGACTCCAAGGTGGGTGAGTCAGGGGAGTCTTCCTGCCCTTCCTCATTCTTCAGACTCTCCTGTGTGCGGTGACAAGGTTCATAGCTGTAATCTGAGATGTGAGAAACTCGCAGTTGGCTCTTCCACATCCTCTTGTTACAATCAAAGAATATTTTTCATAAAAAAAGGATTAAAGTTGATGCCAATGGAGGCCAATTTATTAATGTTATTAGTTCAATTAAGGTTACAGTTAGGTGACTGAGAGCACAACTGGAATGAAACCTAGCAAGCACAGGATCCCCCAAGATTACAGTCAGGAGCCCCTGCACTGCTGGGTTAATCTCAAATATTTGTACATGGCATTGGGTTGGTCTCCTGGTCTTTTCTGAGTCCTCCAAGTGCCACTGGCAATGTGACAAAATAAATATCAGCTCTGTGGGTGATGATTTAATCTGGCAGGAAAAGCTTGGCCTGTTTGAAAATTGAATTTGTGGAGTGCACAGTTTCAACAGAACTGATAAGCCGCCAGACATGTGCATGATAGAAGCTCGGCTGCCGTCTGCGCTATGATGCCCTCTCAATCGTTAAAATGAAGGGAAGCAAAACTGATTTTCTCTGCCACTTGTCGTTGAGGATGACCCCCAACAGATTTCCAGTTTTGGTGTATGCCTGACTAGATTAAGCAGTGTCTCAGTCCTTGCAGGCTTATTGTGGCAAAACTTGCTTCATTTTTAGGCTACAGAGGGATTGGATTCAATTCAACTCCTGTTTTCCGGATGTTCTAAGCAATGCATTTTGAGCCACCTTGTAACAGCAACAAATGGTACAGCAAAGCATTCTGAAATACAAGATCTTTCTTCTAAAGCTGTGTTATTCTTCTAAGAATGCGTTCAGAACAAATAACATTCAAAGCTTTAAGTGACTTACATGATTTTGGTAGAATTTGTTCTTAAATACTTGCTATTCAGTGACATTCTGCTTCTGATTTATTTGTCAGTCCATATGTTACAGGGAAGTGGTGACATTATCCCACCTTGCAGTGCATTTAGAAAAGGAAATGTGCTTTGCTCTGCTCTCCTCCTTTTGAAACTACAGGTGAGCACTGTCTAGGTTGTAAAAGTTCATGGCACTACAAGAAAAAGGTGGGCCAGTCATGTGCCTTCTTTTTTTCTCTAAATGAAGGGAATTTTTTTCCATGTGGAGTGGTGTAAAATATTATGTATAATGATTTGTTTTGAAGAAATGTTAACACTTTAAAAGCCATATATAACGAACAAGTGTAAACTGATATATCAAGACATTCCATGCCAAATTTGAAGAACCTAATCAGAATCTATGGTAACTGCTGACGAGTCAGTGAAAATGCATTTGGCCCTCAGTTCTAGCTTCATATGTGGTCAGTCTGTCCAGCTTTGCAGGAATGTCCTCTGCGTGTTCTTGAGTGGCCCAAGCGATCTGCTGCATGTGTAAAGGAGGAACGTGAGGATGTTTCAAATGAGCCGGGATTAGAGGTGAAAGAGTCCATTGTATGGACAAGCAAAAGTGCAGCAGCTAATGGCAGCTAATTTCACACCTCAGCCAGAGTGGTGCAGTGCAGATCTGCACGAGCTGAATTTCACTAGAGGAATGTACGGGGTGCGTTATTAATTTCAGTGTTGCACTGCTCACTGCAACACACTGTTCTGATACGAAGGAAACACTTGTAAAAACTACAAGATGTCTATTGTGAGCTGCGCTAAACAAATAATGACATAAAGCAGTACTACAGTAACGCATGCATCACAACAACACACGCCAGTTTTGTTGTGAAATAGTGGGGTCAGCATTTGATATGGTGGTCTACATTGTAGAAATTATCCTCTTTGGTTTGGTAGTGTTTTGAAATGCCCTCTGTGTGACTTTTGCCCTCTAATAAACCCCGCAGTTAACCTATGTTGAAAAGGCTGATTGGCTGAGATGAAACCATGTTTGAATGCCTGATTCTAATGTAAGTCTGGTTCAACTCATGATTCAATTTGTGCTGGTGCTGGGCAGCTGTTATTTCTTTTTGTTTGAAATATAAACTGTGCTTTATCCCGCACAAGTAGAGAACGATCTTTTGCACTGCAGGAAAAAGCTCTAGTTTAACTGAATCTGCAGCATAAATGACTCGGAATTGCCTGATGCCTGATATTGCATTTAAACAGAATAAATCTGTAGAAACGCCAACATTGTAAAATTAGTAGGAAATATTACTTCTGTCTCACATGGGCTGAGATTGTGGTTCAAATCGCTGAATTTGTTCAGGAGTCGCATGCCTTTTTATGCTAATGCAGACCAGTTCCTTCGTGCTACAGGAGATTGACTTTCCATTTTTATGCCAGGGAAAGGAGTGTTTCTAATGATTAGAATGAAAGGCAAAAAGATATTTAGTTTTTTGTTCTGTTGTGGCCATTTCATGAGTAGTTTCTTTAACTTGGTTCTAAATGTCATGTACACTGTCTCTTTGACTCAGAAGTAAAGAACTTAATATAATGCATATTCATTTCAAAACGGTCAAAAATATTTGAATAACTGGTTACACAAGCCCTCTAAGTAAGTAGGAGGTATATTGGCTCCTGTGAAGAAAAACAGTTGATTGATTCTGATTTAGCTTTATCCATTAGAATACTAACAATCCAGTTCGAACACATCCCTTGAAAGGTTTTCAGACTATTTCTGCACAGACAAAACAGAGCTGATCGCCGCATTTGGCAGCTTCATTGCTGGTTGAACCATTTCCCTTTTTTAATTTTTTTTTCCTTAGATGATACTTCCTGTAGCTCTGGATTTTCAGGCCTGTTTTCCTGTGTTGAAACGAAGGTCCCATCGTTAGAGCTGAATGCATCTGATGAACAGCTAGTGTTGGACCAGAGCTGTTCTGTAGTCAATAACACCCAGCCCAATATCTGCTGACTCTGCTATAATATTAGCTCCAGACCTTTCTTTTTCTTATTACCAGATGGACAGGAGAGCTTAACCCTAACCCTGACAGCACCATCCCTGATTTGTTAAAAATGATTGGTTAAACAATTAAGAGGGACAAAATTCTCTGATGGTATAGTTGACTTGTTATTTTTTCTGCAGGGAGTTACATTTGATTTTTAAAAAACTGCATTTTCTATAACATTTCCTAGCAAATATTGTGGCCTGCTTGTAAAGGATATAATAATATGATGGTTTAAAGGCTTGTTTTAGGCGTTTGTACTTTTCAGTAGCATTTTTTCTCCCCGGAAGTCTATATGCTTTGATAATTCTTCCAACAGGTTTTTAAGACAAATGTTGGGGTTTTCAAGATGTGGTCAAAAGGCAGTGATGGCGCTTGTGCACTAAGATATGAAGCTAAAATTGTGGATCATGTTTAGGAATCAGAAGCTGGCTGGGCATCTTCAGTTGATTTGGTATGGAATCCTGTCTATGTGTTTGTGTGTGGGTGTGTTTGTACAGCATATAAGAATTCCTGTCTTCTCTGACCTTTTGTATTATACTGTAAATTGTTTTTTTTCTGACTATTTATTGTCAACAGTTGAAAAGACAACAAGGTGTTTTTGGTTATTTAATATTTCAAGAAAAGGAAACGTGGAACCTCCAGTTTTAAGAGTTTCTCGTTTTGTAACAGGTGTTTTTACTTTTGTGGCCCTAAATACAATTTTAAATTTGTTTTTTGGTCTTCTGTGTTCCTGGCGTTTGTCCATTGGGGAAAGGTGCCCTAGTCAGGGAACAACAATCTGTTTTAATTACATAGTGGAATGCAGGGATGGGTGTATGAGAATATTGCAGCCTCATTACATAAAAATCCTGTAATTTTTTGTAGGGGGAAATGCACAGTATTAAAAATGGTATATATGTAGCTGTTTGAATTCATACTTTTTGAAATATTGCAGCAGTTGCTGCTGGTTCTCATGTAAATATTATCCCTTTGGTGCAAAAAAGTATTCTAAATTCCAGGCAAGCTGTTACCTACTGTGTAGCGCAATTAACATGTTACACACGTGCAGTACAAAAAGACTTATTACATTAAAATGAAAGATCTTAGTGCAAAACACCAGCCACGAAATGGAGAACAGATTACCTTTTATCACCTCGTCCCTTGCCCTTGAACGCAATAGCTCAGTGTACCGTCTTAAACAAAACTGGTATGTTCATCACAGAAAAGCGCTGTATTTTGAGTGGGTGGGAGGGTGCTATTTAATATGCTCAGACTATATGCAGCAGGCTCTTGGGATGGTCCAGACAAATTCTCAAGCAGAGCCTTTTGTGAAAGCGTGACTGAGCATCGCTGAATAGGGCCTGGCTTGACTTGCCCTGTTTTTCTGAGGGCAGTGGTCAAAGGACATGGGAGCAACAGGAACATCATGATCCCATTCGGGGTTTTTTCCTGTTTTAGGACCGGTTTTGGATTGCCTAGGATCACCCATCTTCGACTTTTTGACTCGGAAACAGCCAGGAAGCGGATCGCCTGGTATCATTCCAAGATGTTGGACGAGGATACCAGCGGGTAAAAGGTACTACAGTTGCTGGCGTTTCTGGTTAGCTTCTTTAAAAATGTCTTCTTTACAGTAAGAAAAACAAAACACATACCGGAAAGCAAATTACCCAGTTAAAATGTATTCTTGCACTACAATTACAATGGGTTGAAAGCAAAGCAGCCGACAGAACCAATTAAATAAACATAATTCTGAAGGTTTCAAGTCTTGATTTGCAAGAGCTCAGGAAAGATGACTCTGATATCCTTGGCAATAAAGTCCCAGAGCTTTGGGGCGCAACAGGAGAAGACCCTGTCGGCGCTAGTATTGCGACAGACCTGGGGAACAGATGGGAGACCAGAATCGGACAAACCAAGGCTGCAAGGTGGGGAGTAGGACGATGGTATGTCAGACAGGTACTGAGGTGCTATGCCAAGCGGTGCCTTATAGGTGAGCATGAGGATTTTGAAGTTGCCCCAAAACCTGACGGGAAGCCAGTTCAGGGTTGCCGGGATAGGAGTAATGTGATCACTTGCACAAGACCTGATCAGAATTCTGGCTGCTAAATTCAGGACATACTCAAGAAAGCTGGGTTAAAATAACAATAAATGAGACAATAATTAAAATATTCAATTCAAAAGAAGATTACATTTAAAATTGAATAGATGAACGGTGGGAGTTTGCATCTTCACAGACGTGATTTGTAGCTCTTCCTCCTAGTGAAAAATAAGGAATCGCAAAATATCAATACTGTTCTAAGTAAAAACGATGAAATTAAAGGTACAATGGAAATAGAAGACAGGGGAAATAAGGACAATTGAGGAGTGTATAAATACATTATTCAATAATTGAATAAATGAACATGGTCACATAATGAAGTCAGAGGATAGCGTCCGGTTCTCTTCAGGAAAGGTGGGTTTGAGGAGCTGCAGACATGCAGGGACCCCTGACCCAGATCATCCGCGATCTGGGGTGTGTATCTCTTCTGCCCCCTAGCGGTAACTCTCATGAACTGCACGCGTCCGTCAGGGCGCCCCATCTCCTGCTCGATCCGCCGGCCGTATTGCTGGGGCCGCCCCTGGGAGTGCACCCTCATGGGCTCCGCCCGGGTCAGGAGTTCACACCAATACCCTAATCGAGCACTAAACCCTGACTGTGTCTAACGCAATGCCTGTGGAGCATTTCAAACTTCTTGCATTCTTTTAACCCAAACTTGTATCAACGTTTTTACCGTGGTTTAACTTAAAGGACAGCCGGTGTCACGTTCCTGATGTGCACATTGTACGTTCACTACGTACCGCTATACATGCAGTATAAAGCAGGGCACTAGTAACCCTATTGTAATATTTTACACAGGCGAGCCTAATTTCCGTCTGGGTAGCTCGCGTCATCTCCTTTCCCACCTCATACGACTAGCGTGATGCTAGCTACGTTTAGCGACGCTAGCTGGGCAGCCCCTTTCGAAATAAAACACAATGTAGGTAGCTTCACGCTACTCCTCGTACAGCCCAAGTAAAAGCACATTTGCGCAAGATTTTCCTCCCCGGCTACAGTCACATCGTCTCTCGGCTGCTTTCACTTCCGGGTCCGAGGCCGGCGGAGACGCGCTCTCTCTTTCTGGTAGGTTTAGACAACGTGAAACGCACATGGAAGCCGCGTAATGAGACAGAATCGTTTACCAGGGTTTGTGTCGTAGATTAACGCGATCAATCGGTTCAATCCCCCCACTCTGTAGGGAGACGGGCAGGTGGGACAGATGCGAGAAGCGCTTCCCAGTTTCTCATTGGAGTAACCGCCAGGACCACATGTGCAGCTGGATAATATTTAATATTTAAAGCCAGAAAGCGAAATAGCGGCATACATGCGGTCATACCGACGATATATACACGACTAAAGCTCAATATTTCTACGAGTGCGTTTACACGCAGCAGGCTTAGAATGCAGAACAGCTTTTATTTATTTTATTTTCCCTCCCCCTTATCGTTTCTTTCCCAATTTCCTCTTACCGCAAAGCACAACTGCCGCTCGATAAATCCACTTGCACAACAACCGGCTTAGCTTCTCCATTTATATATATATATGTGGGTTTAGCTCTTTAACTTAAAGTTTAAGGGCAAGCAACAGTGGCGGCGGTTACGGGTTTGTTTTCATGAAGAAATACCGAGCCGCCCTGGGAAGGATGTGGAAGTGGAGCAATGGTCTCCACACGCTGGGGCTCAGGGTCCGGGTCGCGCTGTTTGTGCTGCGCTTGTCCCTTTTAACACTGGAGCCGTCGGATTGTGCCTGTAATACATCATCATCATCATCATAATTAATAACATCTGTGAATTGCAATTGGTACAACACCAGTAATAACCGACGACAATAATAATAATAATAATAATAGCTGTGAATTACGGTAGATGCAATAACAATAACAATGATAACAACGGTGAATTACGATGGGTACAAACCAATAATAACAACGACAACAAGAGCAACAACAACAATAATAATACGGTAGCTATGAATTAGGGTAGGTGCAATAACAATAACATCGACAACAACAATAATAATTGTGACAACTGTGCATTACGGCAGGTACAATAACAATGGTAACAACAACAACAACAATAACAACAGTAACTGAATTACGGTAGGTATAATAACATATTATTATTGTTGTTGTCGTTGTTATTGTTATTGCACCTACCGTAATTCACAGTTACAATTATTATTATTGTTGTTGTCGTTGTTATTATTATTGCACCTACCGTAATTCACAACTATTATTATTGTTGTTGCTCTTGTTGTCGCTGTTATTATTGGTACTGTACCTATCGTAATTCACCGTTGTTATCATTATTATTGTTGTTATTGTTATTGTACCTACTGTAATTCACAGTTGTGACTATTGTTGTTTATGTGGTTGTCGTTGCTGTTATTGTTATTGTACCTAAACCTAATTCAAAGCTTTGAAGTCAAAGGTTGGTTGGTCAAGGTCTTTATATCTTATACCTGCTATTGTATTAGTACATTAGTACATATTAGTACTTTAGTACTATTACTGCTACAAGGAATTTTGGGTTTGCGTGTTGTTTGCGTGTTACCTTGCCCTATTAAAACAATGAGTTAAATACAATTGTACTGACACAGCTACCTTAGATATTTCTAATCAATGTTCCATGAAAAACTTTGAAGATATAGAGTATCTAGCGAACTAAAACTAGACAAAGTACCTTCACGCAGTGTTGCGTTGGTATCTTTCTACCAACATTTGCAAAAAAAATAACTATCAGTGTATAACGAGGCAACAGCTCATCATCTCTTTGTGTCTCAGCTAGTGAAACACTGATACACTCCTCTTCCTCTCATTTTGCCAAAAGAAAGTGTTTTTAGGAGCTCTTTCTGCTAGGATGGCTCAGAAGAACACTATCTACCAGTCTTTTCTCAGATCACAGCTTTGCAGCATCGGATGTTCCAAAGGCTGCCAGTCCTGTGACACGGATCAGGTGGTTGTGCGGTGCTGGGACTGTGTAAGACCGGAGAGAGGGTGGACAAAGGCAGTTTAATTAGCCTGGAAAACTGTGTAATTAGTGGAAACTGTGCAAAACATCTGAGGAAAAGAAGTCAGAGGATGGCCAGGTCTGTGCTTCTCAATTAACCTGGCATGTGATCCTGTTAAAAAACCCCACACAATACTCGGTTGTAGGTCTTAACTATGGCCATTGTCATGTTATCTGGGCGAGTCATTTAACTACAGTGTATGTCGTTTTTTTAACTTCTGTTTTTCATTGGGTTTTTTTTACTAGGCAAAGGTAACCACAAAAAAAAAAACAGTTACCGGTCATCTCAAAAACCCCAAGTATGGCAAATGTCAATGCGTATAAATTCTGTTCTTTATCATTCTTTTGCATTTTTACAGAGGGTATAGAGCTGTGGCGGAAAAAAAAAAAAACTTTCAGAAACATAAAATCGTTATCAGTAGGTTATATCGATAATCCACCTCTCCCAATATCTCTCAAAAACCTCCTACTGGAGTCTTAGCCTAAAGGTTCATTTTTCCATTTTATAAATCTCTGAAACAATAACCAGTTTTCTCTGGTCGGGGGGTCTGTAGCCATTTACGGGCTGCAGGGTATTTCGTTTCAGGAAATACTGTTTTGCCTTCATCTAGTTGCTTTTAGTCGGAGGGCAGTTTATATTGGTGACCAGAGGGAGGGGTTGTTGCCCATAAAGGGCATGTGGTTGGTAAAGTTTCAGGCTCTTCTGAAGCTTCATCCAGGTACCAGAGGAATACAGGACGTCCTGTCTAGGAAGTTGCTAAGACCTGTATAAAAGGGGGAAAAAAAGCTGTCATTTAACATACTGGACTCCTTCTGAATGACTGTGTTTGTTGTCCCAGCGTTTGACCTTAAAATACCTGCTCTCCCCTCATTGGAGCGCTGAGGCTTATTTTAGCGATTACGCTGACGTCATAAAGCAGCCGCAGAGTCCCTGGGCCGGTGCCATCATTCCCTGCAGTCCGGGTCTCTGCCTGACAGAGAGGCCGTCCCACCAGGGGAACCCAGTCTCCCGAGGGGCTTGACGAGGTGAGGACAGGGTTTTTTAGGTGGATGAGGGTAAAATCTGCAGGTAGAAATCTTTCCCTGGCCAAGCTTGGGGCTTGCTCGGTCTTTTAACTTATTTCCACAGTTCGGGTAATTTTGGTTGCTTTGAAGTAGACAGCTCAGCCTTTTGATTGTTTGATCTGTATACCCGACAGAAAAGAGCAGTTCCTTGCTTTATATTGTGAGGGATGGGGAGCTAGGGACTTAATGCAGAAAAGCTGGATCAGAACCTTTAGGGATCAGTGGGTTTACAGCCCAGAAACCTGGAATACTTTTCTTCCCAGGAGGTCAGTTGTACCAAGCTGCTCTGTGAGGGAGAGTTTCATACTGTATGTCCTGGACCACTCCATACCAATTTAGAGACAGATCCAGTAGACAGTTTGGCAGACAGCACACACGTTTTGGGTTTCTCAAAGTTTAAAGACGATGTTTCATGAGACGTTTCCAGAACAAAACAAAACAGGCTATATGAAAGGGCTGGGTTTGTCTTCCTGTTTTCTTAAATCCCAGGAAGTAAAAGCTTTCGTTATTTTTTTGTTAAAGGTGGAGGGGAGTTTAAATACCTGCTTTGTGAAAATTCTGCGGCCTGTTTTATTGACGTGGAAAAAAAACGTGTTCCAGAGGTTGCTCAACATAGAACTCAACATAGAAACCTAAATAGAAACCTAAATGACAGTATCAGTACGTTGTTTTAGAATACATTGGTTTAAATGCTATAGTTGACTTGCAAACAAAAAACCCAAAACAACTCCCATAACTAAAAAAAGTCTCCAGTCTTGTATATTACCCAGAGGAAAGTCAGTGTCAAGGTCCCCAGCAGCGTTTAACCAGTAAAGTCGATTGTGTTCTCACCTGTAGCGCGGGCATGAAGTGTAATTTAACTCCGTGTGGACGTGCTACCAGCTCACATGGTGGACAACAGCTGTCAGGGGAATTCTGCTCCTCAGTGTGCCAAACTGGGCTGCGCTGGCCTGGATCATCGGGAATGCGGCCAGGACCAGGGGCGAAACCTACATGTATCCAGAGAAAGAGCTCAAAAGTTACATTACTAGATGCGAGACTCATAGTGAACTGTGTTGTCAGTTGTTACAATTAGGAAGGATCACTAAGCATCTAGTCTTTCTCCAGTGTTCCCCACTTTTAACTCTTTGCAGGACTGCGATTGTACCGGCCTTGTGTTCCCTAACGTGCATTACAGTGACTATCAAAAGTATTCACTCCCTTTGGACTTTTTTTAAAAATTTTATCGTGTTACAACATGATGTATTTCACTGGGAGTTTTTGCCATTTGTGGACAGAAAACACTCTACAGTGTAGTGTCAAAGCGAACGCAAAATTCTACAGATCCTCCTGAATTCGTTATAAATATTTGCTCATACTCCCTCAGGGTATGAGCAAATATACGCCACAGATTCTTGATTGGATTGAGGTCTGGGCTTTGACTGGCTCACTCCAGAACATTGACTTTTTTCGTTTTAAACCCCCCAAAAAGTTTTTAAAAAAAGGGTTTGGCTGTACGCTGGAAAGGTTTGGCTTGCTCTACTGGAAGATGAATCTCGTGCAGATCACAGCTGGTTTTCCTCCAGGATTTCTCTGTACTTTACTGCATCCATCTTTCCTTCTGTCTTTACCTGTCTTCCAGGCCCTGATGCAGTGAAGCTCGCCCCTAGCAGGATACTGCCTCCACCGTGCTTCACAGTAGGGATGATGTTCTGACGATGTTCACTGTTACACTTGCGCCAAACGTACCACTGAGGCCAAAAAGGCCAGTTCTGGTCTCTTCAGACCATAGGCTCTCCTTCAGCTTGGTCTCGGAGTCTCCCACGTGCCTTCTGGCAAAGTACAGTCGAGATCTGATGCACGGTTTTTGTCACTCTCCCATGAATCCCAAATTTGTGAAGCGCCCAGGCAATTTTCATATGCATGTTTCTCCCATCGCGGCCATTGCAGACTGTAATTCCTTAAGACTTGGGGCCCTCCCTGATTAGTGCACCTCTTGCCTGGAGACTCAGTTTTTTGAGGACACCCTGTTCTCCACAGCTTCGCAGTTGTGCCTGTGCCTTTCTACATTTCTTTACGATGGACTTTGCTGTGCTTTGGAGGATGTGTAATGCCTTGGACATTTTCTTCTACACCTCCCCTGATTGGGGCTTTTCAATAACCCTATCCCAGATCATATGTCTTCATGGTATAGGAACTGTACAGCTGTGGGACCTCCAGAGCTAGGTTTATTTGTCCTGGATGCATGTTTTGTATTGGATAAAAAATCACAAATAAATACGTTATGATTCTATAAAGTAACATGGTAAAATGTGAAAAAGGGGAATACTTGTGATAGCCACTGTAGATAAAACAGCAGTTGTCAGCATAACAGTACGAAGTGACATTCTGGTCAGTGAAGTGGATTGTGGTCTGACACCTTCATTCAGAGTTGCTTTGCTCTGATGCTGTCAGTTCTGTCTCAGTACTGCTAGAAATCATTAGGCTGCCTGTTCTTCCTGCAGTAAGACTGTCATGTCTGTGCTTGGCTTTGTGGTAAAATGCCTCCATACTGGGCCAGCCTTGGCATTGGACCACACATGTCCTTGTGTGTCTCTGAGGCAGTCATGCCATGACCCTGATTTTCTGTCTCCTCTGTCCACAGGAGGAGTCCATCCGGAGACGGACTGATGGCGCTCGTGTCTGGGAACACTTTCCTGTTACTGCTGGGCAGCCTGGGGCTGGTGGCACTGTACCAGCTGCTGAAGAGGATGCGCCAGAAGGCCTATATCCAAGACGCAGTGGTGGTCATCACGGGCGCCAGCTCCGGACTGGGGAAAGGTGAGACCAGGGATTCTGTGCCTCGTTCAGCAGGGAGACCCCCCTTGTCATCCCATTGATGGACCCTGGGACTACCCTGTTCTAGCACAGAAGCAAACTGCTTTGTAGAAAATTGATCACAAAAAAAGAGCAAAACAGTCCCATGACAGGTAATCAGGACACCCAACAAACTTTGATTTTTGAGAGCAAACCTCATCACAGAGTTAGAGGATTGATTGGCCTGGGCTGGGGTGATAGGTAGACATTTGGGAACACTTCTTGATGGTGTCCATTCACTGGTAATCAGTCAAGTATGTCTGGGTAGTCTGTTGCCGTTGTTATATTAGAATATTTAAAAAAGGGTTGTGACGAATGCAAAATGATGTTCGGATTTAACAGAACATCAGATCTGTCTGCGTGAGTGTGGAGGAAGGTTTGATCACTTCTCGCTGGCTAGGGATTGATCAACAGGAACAGACATTTGTCTCTTGCTCCCACCCTCCAGAGACAGGCTGATAGGTTGGATGGCTGTACTAGGTAGTCCGTTTCATGAGGAGCTCGAGTGAGGCTACTTGTAGCTTGTATACCAGCTGGAATGTCAACTCCATCATGACTGGGATAAGATTCAGGTCAAGAAGAAGAGAAGACGTATTTTGTGTAACTGGAGGTGAATTTTCCAATGTTGTTTGTAGCTTTAACGATTTACACGTGAAGCATAGACAATACTGTCACAATCTTAAACATCTTAGACACAATCAGGGGTTACAATATATAAATATAGCAACATTTTATCCAGTCTCCATTGCTTTCTACTACTGTAATGACAGTTTTATTTTGTTTGAAAAGAAACCAATCGTATTAATTTCACCACGGCCCGAATCTTAAAACGCATGATCGCAGCATCCTGAGGTAAGCTGTACGTCAATAAAAAGTGCTCTAGTAGCACGTCCAGCACATTTACTGGTCAGATCTAACTGACTCATTGGCTCCACTTGCTCCCCTCCACTCCCCATAAAACTCAATGGCTGCTTCTTTTGTGTTAGGATTATCGGTTATCTTAGCACAAGATGGGTATAGTTTCAAAAGAAGATCTAAAGATCAAATAATGTGCCTGCAAGTTTTTCTTTCGCACTGTTGCCGAGTTAAAAAAGGCATGTTAGCAAAGACAAATGGTTACTATCCTGTACACCTACAAAAAGGTAAATGCCAGAATTCTTCCCCATATTTTATTTGTGTGCCCTGAGATGGAGTGGTGTCCCGTCCAGGGTGTATCTCGCCTTGTCTTGCTGGGGGAGGCCCCAGCTCTCCTGTGACCCTCTCCTGGATAAACCTCCTGTTTGTCGCCCCCCCCAGAATGTGCCAGGGTGTTCCACGCTGCTGGTGCCCGCCTGGTGCTCTGTGGCCGAGACAAGGGACGACTACAGGAGCTCTCCAAAGAGCTGGCTGCAGTCTCGGATAGCGGCAGAAAGGTGAGTGACTGGCATGGCTCTTTGTCCTCTCCCGGGGGGACACCTGTACAGTTCGTTTTCAGTCCAGGAGATTTCGCTTCAAGATCCCTCATTGCTTACAGAGCACTGCAAGAGCATGGCAGACAAGCTACTGTATTTATCTCATTGTAAATGTGATCCAATTATCCTAATGAATAAGATAATAACATTACATAAAATTAGTTTATATCCTTATTTTTAAGGATGTTACACACATTAGATCAAACCTGATATGCTAATAAAGAGCATCTTTATCTCATTCCAGCATTTAGGAATAATTGTAGATTCCAGAGAATATCCTGACTTTGGGTAAGGGCTGCATTCCGAACATCTGTGAAACTGGGGAAAAAAAAGTTCGATATTTCTCCTTCAGAGTTGTCTTAGGGCTTGTCAGGGTGATAGAAATCTCAGCACTGACATCAAAGACCCAAATCTAGGAAGAGCGGGTTAAAATTCTTCAGCACGTGCAGAGGAAAGTGAGTTCTTTGCATGACCCCCATTTGAAATGTTAAAGGCGTAACCTTTAAAGGAGAAATCTGAAAATACAAAACGTGATGCTCTGGTTCACGAGTAATGGGGCCACATTACTAATAATTGGGACACGATCCAAGTTCACATCAGCCTAACCAGCGGCTCAGGCTCAGTGGACATTGGGAGCGTGTGTGCGGAAATGTTCGCTGATTAGAATCTTCGACTTTCACAGACGTACCCACCGAGCACTGTGACCTTTGACCTTTCGGACACGGGCACAGTGGCCAGTGCCGCAGAAGAGATTTTAAAATGCCACGGCCGCGTGGACATTCTCATCAACAACGCGGGTATCAGCTACCGAGGCACCATACTGGACACCACAATCGACGTGGACAAGGAGGTGATGGACATCAACTACTTCGGACCAGTCGCTCTTACGAAAGGTAATGGAATCTTTCATTTGCCCGTCCACATTGTCTGAACTCCTAAAACTGGACAGCAGTGACAGGTGGGGTGGCAGATTCTAAACAAGTTGCATTCAAAAAAACATAATGAACTCTTTTGGTGAAGAGAGATGTAAATGCAGGCAACAATCTGGATAAAATTAAACAGGTAGAAACGAAAATATTCTTGTTATAGAATTCCGTTTTTGATCACACAGCAGTAAATGTCAGGATCATCTTTGATCTAAGTCAGATCAAAGGCGACTGGACTTGGATCTGTCCCAGCACAGTTTATTTTCTGTTTCTGGAATGGGCCTGCTGTGGGCTGCGCCACCTCTGTCTCCTCTCCTCCGACCTGCCTGCTGAAATCAGGTGTGGCACAAGGCCTCGTGGTGAAACCTCTTCCCGAAGAGGTGGAGCTCGAGAACGCAGCCCGCTTTTGCCACCCTCTCTGTAAACAGTGTCTTTGCAGCCATTCTGCCCTCGATGGTTCAGAACCGGAGCGGACACATCCTGGTGATCAGCAGTGTGCAAGGGAAGATCGCTATCCCCTTCAGGTCTGCCTGTAAGTACCTTGCCTTGCTTTCAGTGCACGTTTGCCATGAAGCAGCACTCTGGAACCTAAGTAACTGACAGAAAAGCCAACATTGATTTTCCCTTTGGTGGTGCTGTTTGACAAAAGCTTTAATTCGTGGAAAAGCCTGAATCCACAAAAAACTACTAACCCTTCAAATCCTCCATCCCTTCCAGAAAAGACAGTCCAGGCAGTAGTACACGGGAAAAAAACTCTCTCTGGGTTAAGGTTATTGAATCCGTCCAAAGTGCACAGCTGTAAAAATTGCTGTCCGCTACGCAAACTAAGACTTTTGCTTTTCTCTGTCAGTTAAAGGAGCAAATTGAATAA